GGTGAGGCGTGCGTGTGGTGTGCGTGTGGTGTGGTGTGGTGTGGTGTGGTGTGTGTGCACGGCATGGGTGTGCGTCACAAGCATCAACGAGCATGCGGGTAGCGTGTGGGTGTGTGTGGCACCAGCCGCTCGCAACAGCAAGCCGCTGTGCAGCCATGCTGCGGCGGCAGCTGCCCGCATTGTCCCCACGTCCGCGCCATGCCTCCACCCCCTCCACCACGCACCAGCTCATACTCAGGGTCCGGAACCGCGATCAGCATCTCCTCAGGAGGGCTGGCATGCACCGCCGCCAGCGCCAGGCAGCGCCCCAGCGCCGCCGCCACCTGCGGGCTCACTGCGTTGCCCATTTGCTGCAGCGGCGCGGGGCGAGGGGGAGGGGGAGGAGAGGTTGCACGGCGAGCGAGCCTGGAGATGTGGCAAGCCGGCCGGCTGGATGGTCCAGGGGGCGCGGGGCAGGGGGAAATCAGCACACGACAGGGCAAGCCGGGGCGTCCAACCTGGCAGCTCCACCTCAGCCCTCCCAAGCACCACGGCCCACCTGGAAGCGCTGCTTGATGTTTGGGTTGCCGGCAAAGCGCTTGGTAGAGAGCTTGGGCTTGGCCAGCAGCACATGGTAGTCTGGGAAGCCCTGCGGTACCGGCGGTACACATGGAGTACCATGAGCACCACAGGACTGGCAACCAATGCAGCGCAATGCAGAGCAATGCAGCAACGCACGCATCTCAGCCGCAGGCCAAGCAGGGGGTGGCGCGCAGGCATGTGCGCAGGCTCACAGGCCGGCGCGCGGCTGCTTGCGAGGCGCACACAGTGCAGCCCGGCGCTTGCCTGCATGCGTGCGTTTTCGCGGATGGTGGTGGTGCGCCCCTGCGTGGGGTGCCCCACCTTGAGGTTATGAGGCTCCGAGCGGCCCACCACCTGCATGGGTAGGCAGGCCGCACGGGAGGCGGCGGCGGGTTACGCCCGCAGCGCGCGCCAGGGCGCCGCAGCACCAGAGCAGCCGAGCGCCAGAGCAGCCACGCGCAGCGCGCCACAGCATCAGCTGCAGCTGCAGCGCAGGAGCCGTGTGGGGCCCCCAGGGTGTGCCCCCCGGAGAGCCACACACACACACGAACAAAAGAAAGGAATCGGCGCCCACCGTGGCCACAGTCTCGTGGGGCCCCTGCCGCCCGAAGCAGCCGCCCCTCCCCTTGGACTTGCCCTTCTTGAAGGTCACGCACCACTGCGGCACCAGCACGTCGCCGGTGGGGATAAAGGTGGTGGAGGCGGCGCAGCCTGCAGGAGGGCGGGAGAGGGGCGGGAGGACGGGGCGTGTGACTGCAGCCAAGGGGGCTGGGTTGGCTGGGCTGCGGGGCCGTACTTGCTTGCTGGAGCCCGCGAGTGCGGGTGTGGCAGGTGTGGGCGGACATGTGGCGGCGCGCTTGCGTGGGCGAGGCAGCGGGCGTGTGCCCGGGCGGGCGGCTGCCGGGGGGCGCGGCGCTGGGGCCGCCGAACAGGCAGCGCAGCGCAGCGGGCCCAGGCGCAGGCGCACCCTCAAGAGCGCCGCCACGCCACCCCTCCTTGTTGTGCTGGTCCACCCGATACTCCTTGTGTGCGCCCTTCTTCTCCTTCTTGGGAGGCTCGTACACGCCGCCGCCCGCACAGGCTGCAGGGCAGGGTCGACGCGGGCAGATGCAGAGGAGGCGGCAGGTGAGCAAGCACAGCCATTGGAACGGGCCGCCTAAGGCAATACAAACAAAGACCGGTTCTGGCTGGCTGGCTGGCTGGCTGGCTCGGCTGCTCTGGTGGCAGCTGCGCTGCACCCTGGCGTGCAACCAAATCAACAACAACACCGCCAGGGCGTGGCACGCACCTGACTTTCCGTCGATGCGGGGCGCGTGGCTGTGGCCGTAGCAGCAGTAGGTGCCTGCATGCAGGCGCGCAGCGCGGCGTGGTGCACAGCTCAGCACAGCCGGCATGTGAAGAAGGCATGCACTAGTGCGGCGCGGCGCAGCGGCTGGCTCTTCTCCCGCGGCTTTCTGCCCCCGTCGCCTCACCGCCTTCGTCCTGCACGATTCCATCAAGGTTCCGGAAGTTGCGGTCATCATCCCCAGCGTTGCGCGGCGGCACATTGATCAGGCGCAGGTGGTCGTCTGCAGGCGAGGGGTACAGGCGGCGTGTGTGAGTGCATTTCTTGAGAGTGTGTGCATGTGGGGGGTGCATTGTTCTCTGGTCGTCCTGAGGCCCGAGGTGAGCCCCGCACAACCACGCGCCCCTGCATCACTGCCCCAGCAGTCAAAGCTGGGCAAAAGGCCGCCCATTGCGGCCCTGGCAAATCTCTAGCTTCCCGGCAGCTTCCCGGCACTCACTGGCGTTGCAGAAGTAGGGGCGGTGGTCGCACAGGATGGCCTCGGGGTCAGCCCGCAGCTGCGGGTCAGCTTCCAGGTACTCCCGTAGGCGGCGCACGTACTGCAGGAATGCGGTACATTATACGGCACATAAAGCACATGTGGGGACCCGCCTGGTGCAGCAACAGCAGAAGGGGCGCCCCTCCACCCCGCGCTGTGCCTCAGGCGCCACCGCCCCTGCCAGCCCCGGCAGCGCAGCGCAGCGCCCCGCACCATCTCTCCCTGGGTGTGAGCGTATCCGTGGCGGCTGGCCTCCGCCTGCAGCCACAGCACCGCCTGCAGCTTGGGGTCCTTGACGTGTCGCACGGAGGCCGACCAAGTCTCAAAGGCGTGGTTGCCTGCAGGGCGCACAGGTGTGATGTGTGTGTGCTGAGTGCTGACATGCGCGCGTGTGTGTTTCCTGTCGAAGGGTAGTTGGTGTGTGTGGGAGCAAGGGTAGAGGCACAGGCAAGGGTAACTCCGGCTGGCGGCGGCAGTCTGCTGTACACAGTTCGATGGGAGCGGCACCTCTGTCTCTCTCTGCCTCGCCCCGGCAGCTGGTCCGGAGCGGCTGGCTGGCAGGGCTTGCGAGGGGCAGCGTGCACTGCCTGGCCGGCTGGCCGGCTGCCGGGCGGGGCATGCAAATCGGGCGGCGCAGCGCCACGTCAGCAGAGCAGCGCCACGTCAGCGGCGCAGCGCCACGTCAGCGAGCCCCCCTCACCCTTGTCCATGTCGTCAGACTCCCGCTTGGAGCCCTTCGCCTCCGGCGCCAAAGGGTTCTTCTTGCAAAGCAGCATCTTGGTGCCCATCTGCACGCCGGAACAGGTAAAGTGAGATGTGGGCTGGCTGGCTGGGAAGTGAGGTCAGCAGCGTATGCTCGGCCGGCAAGCGAGACTCATCTGCAACAGGCCGGCAGCTGTTTGCAATGCAAGGAACCCCCACCACACACACACACACACACACTCACCACGGCAGCACCCTGAGCCTCAGCCATCTGCAGCGCCGCATGCACCAGCTCGTTCTGCAGCCAGGGCCAGGCGCAGGGCAGGCGTCGCTGCTGCTGCCGCTGCCTGCACGCCCTGGCATCCCCTAGCAAAACAGCGGCGGCGCCAGCACCGCAACCGCGGCTGCCGTTCTGGGCGGTAGCGCCAGGCGGAAGCAGGAGGGGCGGTGTGCGGCACTAATAGAAAGAACAAACTCACGTGCCCCGCATGCATGTACTCCTCATGTGCGTCAAACCGGTCCTGCCGGGTGGTCATCCAGGGGCGAGGGTCTCGCCGCAGCCAGGCCTGCGCCGGGAGTGGCACCAGCGCATGCATGCACCTTCGACCACAATTCTCTGGCAGATGAGCTGCTCACGTGGTACTGAAGTCGGGTCCCGGAAAAGCTGGCTGTACTCCCTGACTGCACCAGCCTTACGAGCTTGGCTGTAGTTACTAGACAGCTGTACTGGGAAGAAGGGTTGGTAAGCCAGGGCCACGGCAGCACACCTGCGTGAGGCGCTGCGGTCCCGTCTCGTACCGCCGCCGCTCGTGCAGCTCAAAGTTGTCCACCTCGGGCAGGTCGGAGAAGATGTCGCCCAGCAGTACCTGCAGTACCAATTAAGGCAGTACATGCAGTATGTGACAAGCAGGACCCGCTGCATCATCATGCCAACAATACAGCCACGGGATAGCCACTCGGCAGGCAAGCATGTAAGGGCACACAGCACGCTGCATCAACAGGGATTAGTGTGTCGCATTGAGGCGAGGGCAACACGTGGCAGCACCCTGGCGGCTCATGCTCCTCACCGGCGGGTGGCCGTTCATCGTGCAGTCCTCGTTGCTCACAAAGCCAGAGGTGAGGCGTTTGGCATTGTTGGCAGTGGCGCACTGCAGGGTTGGCCGGCAGCGCACAGCACACTCGATTGGCAGTTGGGTGGGACGCCAGAGTGCGGGGAGGGGTTGCCACAGCATCACAGTATCCTGTCCCCCATTTGCCATCCCCCGCGGCCCCACACAGCGAGGCGCGGCAGCCTGGCTGTCCCGCCTGGAACCTGCCTTGAAGTGGATGCAGTTGTGGGTGGGCTTGGGGATGGCGGGCAGCTGCTGGCCGGGCGCCGCCGCCCACAGGAAGCACCGCCAGCGGCCCTGCGGCACGCCAAAGTTGCCGGCCGCGAGCAGGCCGACCCGCACCTGCGAGCGGTACACGGCACAGCGCGGCAGCGTGACGTGGCAAGGTGCGGCAGGGAACCGTGTCGTGCCATGCTATGCACCAGCGCGGCACACAGCTCCCGAAGAAAGCCAGCACTGAACAGCCGCGATCGCGCCGCCACCAGGCATAAAGCAGAGATGCAGCCAGGAGTGCATGCCACCGCGTGGTACTGCAGCTGCTGACCTGGTACCGCATGTTCAGCATGCTGCCCATGGCGTACTTGATGTACAGCCCATCCTCCTTCTTCAGGATGTCCTGCAGTACAGCGGGACCGGTGCAGCAAGCGGTACAGACAGACAAACGTCAGGGCTGTTGAATCACATGCTGGTGGCGCTGCCGTGCGCTGGAAAACCACCTCATGCCCTTGTCCTCCCTTGCCTCCTATCCATACACACACACAGCGCCCAGCCCTACCTGCACATTCTCCATCAGCACATACTTGGGCTTGAACCACTCCGAGTATGCAATGAACACGGGCAGCTGGCGGTTGCTGCGGCAGGCGCAGGCGCAAACAAAAAAACCACAGGTTGGCGAGCTGCGCAGCAGGCAGCAGGCATCCAGCTGCATGACCAGCCAGCCAGCAGCCAGCCCAGTATGGCAGGAAGGACGAAAGTTAGCATGGCTGCGGGGGCACCCGGCACAGGCAGGCAGCCGCACCGAGGGTCTTGCAGGATGTCTTCAGTCATGGCGTGGCGGTTGTTGCCGCTGATGCCCTGCGGGCGAGCGGCGGAGGCAGCGGTGAGGCAGGGCAGGGAGCCCGGAAGAACGGCGGCGGCAAAAGTGGTGCAGGCGGGGCAGGGCAGGGGCAGCCGGTGGAGCAGCTGCTCCCCTGGCCTCTTTGATAGCAAAGGAGAGGAACGGGAGCAGGAAGGGAGGGTGGCGGTCGCACCTGGCAGGGCGGGCCTCCACAGATGAAGTCGACCTCGCCAGGGAAGGGGATGAGCTGGCGCCTGCAGAAAGGAGGGGACAAAGAGAGGGAAAAGAAAGTGAGGCGAGGCAAGCGCTCGGCTGGGCGCCAGCAGGCAGGAGTGCTGCCCCGCCGGCGCCTCGCAGCAGCAGCCGCCGCGGCACGCTGCCCCGCCCTGCGGCCCAAGCAGCGGCAGAGCTAGGGGCAGAGCAAGCAGCGACAGAGCTAGGGGCAGAGCCAGGCGCAGAGCAAGCAGCGGCAAGCCGGCAGCAGCCCGTCTCACTCTCGCAGCTTGCGCACAAAGCCGCGCAGCAGCTCATCCTGCCCCTTGAGCTGCTTGCGCGACAGCCACACCTCCTGCTGCTCCCCGCCAGCCTCCATCACCACCTGCAGGCGGGTGAGGGGCCGCAAGGGAACAGCGTGGACCATTGTGTGTCGAAGGGCACGTGTGGAGCCCAGCGCGCTTGTTCCAGACACTGTTGAATTCCAGCAGGGCGGGGCCGGCATGACATGCTTCAAATTGGCATGTCGCCCCATCAATCGTCTCCACTGCACACCACACCACTGTCTGTTTTTTGCTGCAGCCAGCCCAGGGGCCACAGTGCCTCCTCAACTTCCGCTGCATCACCCTGCCGCCGGCGCCCCTGTCGCCCTGCCGCCCCACACCACACCACCTCATCCCACACCACACTACACCACTCCACCCCACAGACCTTGAACTCCAGCCAGCGCTCGTCGCGGCGCATGGAGCGCAGCAGCAGGCCGGCGGCGACGTTGGACTTGCGCTGGCGGGGCGCCTTCTCGCCCAGCCGCATCTGCAGGATCTGCGTCACCTTGCCCACCTTGCCGCTGCGGTGAAGAAGGACAAACAAACAAACAAGCAAGGAGCAGCGGAGCGGCAGGCGGGCCAGGGGAGCGTGAGCAGAGGGGAGGGCAGGTGGATGATGGAGGTGCGACAGTGCGCAGCAGGCACAGCGCGGCACGGCGTGGCGCAGCAGGCACAGCGCACGGCATGGCAGCAAGCTCAGCATGGCGCAGCGCAGCAGGCACTCACTGGTAGGGCAGGCAGTCGCCCTCTGTGATGGAAACAGGGGCTTGTGCCGCCGATCCCTTGCCCCTGCCTTTGCCTTTGCCTTTGCTCTTGGGTGCTGCACGGCATCGCAACGCAGCAGCAATGTGAAGCGAGCTTCGCGCTGCAGTAGCATGCCTGGCGCCACAGCACGCTGGAGGCCCCAATACGAGCCGCAGCCCGGCAGCAGCCCGGCGGCAGCTGCAGGGCCGCTGTCCCTAGCAGCATGCAGGCAGCGGAAGCCCGCCGGCAGACCTCCGAAGCGTGGCGCACCGGGAGCCTGCTCCTCCTCCTCCTCCTCCTCCTCAGCGTCCTCAGCATCCTCACTTTCCTCCTCCTCCTCCTCCTCCTCGGCAGGCTCCTCGCTCCCGGCCGCTTCACCTCCCTCCAGCAGCCCCGCACTGGCAGCAGCCCCGCTGCCCTGCTTCTGCCGCTTGGCGGCCTGGCCGCCCTTGACCGGGGCCCGACGGCCCTTGGCCTTGCTCTTTGCACTGCAGCCAGTCGCGAGGCAGGGACGGGAGGAGCGCAGCGTGAGGTGTGCCGGAAGCAGTGCCGAGCTTGCACCACGTTTGGGATGGGGGTGTGCTCCCTGCAGCCTGCGGGGAGGAGCTGTGACAGGCTGCTCGTGGTGTGCTGGACGGCGGGGTCACTCACACGACCTCCCCAAACACGCTGCGCGGCCAGGCCAGCAGCTTATCGTCGTCGCAGTGCTTGTACGGGTCGCGCCCGTTCCAGGGCTGCAGGGAAGAAAGGATTCGGCAGGCGAGGGGCGCATGGGCAGCGAGCATGCCAGCGGCCAGGGGCGCTGAGGATATGTCAAGAGATAGGGCCGTGTGTACGGGGCAGTGGCGGCATGCAAGGGCGTGCCTGCGGCTGCTGGCCGGGGCAGGCCATCTTGAGCTCCTGGTACAGCTCGTGTGTGGCCTTGAGCAGCTCCAGGTGCTCGTCGGTGCCAGAGATGAAGACCTGGGAGGAAAGGAGGGAGGGAAGAAAGGCGGGATGATTGGAGGTAGGGTTTGTGTGAGTGAGCGGTGGTCGCCTGGTAGCACGAGCACGGCCAGCCGCGGGGGAGTGGGAGGGTGCTTTCGCAGCGAGGACCCCAGCACATGGGGCGGGGCGGGGCACAGCGCAGCGCGGCACAGCGTGGTGCACGTGACAGTGCTGGTTGTTGGCTTTGAAGGTACGTGCCATGTCCTCCTCATAGTCGCAAGCCCAGTCGGTGCGGGTCTGCACCCTGCATCAGGCAGGCAGGCAGGCAGGAGGTACGTGGTCAGGGCAGGGACGGGCGCACTGGAGGCCTTCGCGCCAGCGAGGGCACGCAGGCGCACGGCAGCGCACGGCAAGCAGCGCAGCATGCAGGACGCAGCGTGCATGGCACACAGCGCGCACAGCGCACGGCGTGCGACACAGCGTGCAGTGCGGCGTGCAGCGCGGCGTGCAGTGCGGCGTGCGACACAGCGTGCACATCGCGCGGCGTGCAGCGCAGCGTGCAGGGCAGGGCGCACCCTGCCGGGTCGGGCCGCCCATCCTCCAGCAGGCTGATGTGGTCCAGGTAGCCCAGGCCGCCTGCCCCCACATACAGGTCCATGCCCCGAAGCACCTGCAGAGACGCACACAATGCTTGAGCATGGGCGCAGATTGTTTGGGCGGCGATTGTTTGGCAGAGAAAGGGAGGAGGTCGAGCAGGCAGGTTTGGGGTTTGGCGCGGGCAGGGTGTTGAACTGTTCTGGCCTACGCGGAGCAGGTGGGCCAGGAGGGGCAGGGACGGGAGGGCCCCCAACGGCGGGCCTCGGCCAGCCAGCCAGCTCAACAGCATACAGGAGGGGCGGGGATGGCCCCTCCAGCGGCGCCCAGCTGAGGCTCACCACCGGCGCCTTCTTGCCTTTGCGGGCCGCCAGGAAGCGCTCGCGCTGCTGCTTCGCCACGTGGGCGGGGACCTCAAAGGTGAGGAAGCGGCGGTCGAACTCTGCGGCAGGGGCAAAGGGAAGGAGAGGGAGGTGTGGGGTGGTGGGGTGTCTTGTGTGTTTTTGTGTGTCTTCGTGGTGGTGGACGTGTGCGACATTGTGTATGTGTGTGTGTGTGGTTGCAGGGGGCGGGTCTTGCTGCAGCTCCCTCGAGCAGCGTGGCAGCGCCGCTTGCTCACCAAAGCTCCACCAGAACTGGCAGCCGGCGGGCGGCGCGGTCTGGGGCTGCACGTACACAACCTCCACCTTGCTGCGGCGCAGGCGCGGGGCAGCAACACGGCCGCGGATATTATCTCATGTGTGGCTGTGTGGTGGTGGCGGATGAAAAACAGCAGACAGATGCGCAGGCAGCAGCCCATCCCCGCCCGCATCCTGATGTGCCGCACTCTGGCACGGGCGGCTGCGGCGGCGCTCGCCACATCAGCAGCAAGCTGCCACCTCACCACTCCAGCATGTCGATGAGGTACTCGTGCTGGTACAGCCGGTTGTCCCGTGCCCGGAACACCTGCCGCTCGTCAAAGCCGTCCACGGCTGCGGGCCATGGGCAGGGACAGCAGCAGCAGCAGCATGGCTTGGTGTTGGAAGGGGAAGAGAGCCAGAAAGGCAAAACATGCAGCAGGCACGGCAGCCAGCAGGACCGGAGGAGGGCCGCGACCACCGCACCAAGCCTGGACAGGGCGGCCGCCGCCTTCTTGCCGCCCGCCTTCTGCTTGGTATAGATGAGAGAGGTGGCGGCGTCGTGCGCGGCATAGAACCAGTGGACTCGCATCATGCGCGCGCCCTGCGCCACGCATCACGGGACGCATCGCAACATGTTGCAAAAAGCCGTGTTGCATTGCAAAACCCTTTTTGCGTTGCAAAAGCCGCCCATCCATGACGCGTCCCCGCCGCGCGGCCCTCGCTCGTCGAGCCGTTTCCCTGCAGGGACGTGCACGCAGCGCGGCAGCCGCCAGCGCCGCACTCACGTCTGGCGTCTGGTAGAGCTCCTCGACCTGCGCCACGCTCCAGCCCTTGGTGTTCTCGTCGCCCACATTGACCTTGATGAAGTCGCCGCAGTACACCTGCGGTACATGTGGGCGGTACAAGCAGGACAGGCTCGCACAACTCTCTGAATAGGCGGTGCATCGCTGAGGGGTCATGCCGAGTCGTCAGGCCCGAGAACCGAGCGCCGGCTCCTTTGAGGGCAGGGACAACAGGGCCAGCGCTGTGCATGCCTGCGGCTGGCCCCGCTCATGCCAGCTCCACCACCGCCACCGGCACGGCCCCACGCCCGCACTCACGTACTGCTGGTCGCCCTTGCCGTCCTCGTCCTCGTCCGCCCAGAAGCCGTGGAAGTGGGCGGCGGCGGCGGGGTGGTAGCTCCTGCGCCCTGTGCCCGCCTCCCGCTCCTTGCGGTGCTTGGCCACCAGCCTTGCACGCTGCGCCTCGCTGACGCCCACCAAATCGACCAGCTCCCGCTCTGGGTACCGCTGCCTCGCCTCGGCCTGCGAGGAGGGGTGGGGGGCGGGAGTGGACGCCGCGGGAGCGGGAGCGGGGCGGCGGCAGCTCAGGGATCGGCGGTGGTGGCGGGCTGGAGGCTGGAGCTGGCAGCAGGGGCGGGCGGCGTGGCACAGGCGGCAGGAGAGGGCAGCCCGGCTGTGTGGGCCGGGCGTGCTGCCGCTGCTGCGGCATCAGCAGGCGGCAATGATGGCGCCCCAAGGAATGCAATGCAACGCACCGGCGGCATGGGGTCGCCCAGCCAATGGTAGCCGCCTGCGTATTCATCATCCAGGCCGCGGCAGTCCTCGACGGCGCAAAAGGTCGTGGGCCGGGGCTGGGCTGCAGCACCGGCAGCGGGAAAAGGGCCACCAGGTGTGGGCGGGCACGGAGCTCTGCACTATGATGGCGGCGGGCGAACTGGCACGGCGGCGGGGCAGCGCCCTGACAGCTGATGCCTGGCGTCGTTTGCGCGGCGCTGCTGATGCCCTCGGGGCGGCTGCAAGGGCTGGACGGCTGCGCCGGCCTCCTCCCCAGACAGGAACCCCCACACGACAATTTTGAGCGCCGAGGCAGTCCCAGATGGGAGGAGCTGGAGGCTTCATCCGTGTCCTCGGCCGTTTTCCATCAAAACGCGCACCTGCCATGACTGGCTACTGCACAGACGCCACTCTTTGTCACACCATCGGGTGCCTGGCGCTGCCCCTGCAGTCTGCCACACTCGCGTACGATGCGTGGAGGTGATTTGCAGTCACGCTGAAGTGCCGCCGAGACGCGGGGAGGTCGAGAGAGGCCAGCGACTTTCCTCAAGTTTTTTGCAAACTCACAGCTCGAAAAATAGGCATACCCTGGCCAGCCCAGCTACACCAGCAATCCCCATTTGTGCCGAGGATCACTTCCTGGTGTCTGGGGCGAGGGCAGGAGGGGCGGAGCAGCACCATGACAGAGGGGGGCGAGCTGCCGGACCAGGTGGCCGCCTTCCTGCTGGTGGGCCGCATCGTGTCGGAGGGAGAGGGCAGCGAATGGAGGGAGGGCGTGGTCAAGTACTACCAGCCGACGTTCGGCAAGGGCCAGCAACACAGTGAGCCGGGAGCTGGCCTGCCGGGGGGCTTGCGGTCTGGCCGGGTGCCGGGGAGGGGGTACCGCGCTCCGGGGAGGCACCCGCGGGGCTGCGTTATCTTCGCGCTCCGAGCGACGTTGCCGCCCGCCCCCGCCCGCCCGCCGCAGTCGGCTTCCCCTGCTCCTACCCCGCCAAGGAGGGCAGCAAGAAGGAGACCCCCATGGACACAGACTTTCGCTACACGGTGATGTGGCAGGACGGGGAGGTGGAAGTGCTGAGCCTGGAGGAGGTGCAAGACATAGCCACAGAGGAGTGGACTGAGGAGGCCTGGCTACCGCTGGCCATTCGCAAGCTGCAGCAGGCGCGTTGCCCTGGGGACAGGAGCCCGCCGACGGCGGCCAGGGCATCCGCGCCGACAGCAGGCCGCCACGGGGCAGCTGCAGGCTGCAGGGGCCAGCCGGCGGGTGCCCGCCCAGCTGCCCGGCTGGGCGCGGCGCCGCGTTGCATTGTGGCAGGCGGCGGCGCTACCGGCCTGCCTTGCACGGGCTGGGACGGCCGGAAGGCTGCACTCCCAGCACCCCCGCTGCGGTCTGCACTCATGCTGCGCTGCCGAGCCTTCCTGCCACAACCCCCGCTCACCACGCAACCCACCCACACACACACTCACCCAGCCCGCCAGCTCCCACCCCGCGCTGCCCTCTCTGCAGGACAACTGGGGTGGCGAGTGGGAGCAGCTCACTGGCGACAACGCCGTGCAGTTCCTGAAGCAAGCGCGGCTGGAGGCCGACAAAGCGGAGAAGGCCGCCGCCGCGCAGGCCAGCAAGAAGGCCAAGAAGGGCGGCGGCGCGGCGGCGCCCTCCTCCGGGCCCAAGGCGCCGCCAAGGCAGAAGGCCGCCGCCGGAAAGAAGGTGGGGGAGCGGGGCCTGCCCCAGGCCGCCTGGCAGGGGTTTAGGGTTTGATGCGCCGGGCCGAGCTGGCGCAGCGGCGATGCTTGCAGGCAGCGGCGATTGATGGGGACCCGGTGCCGCCTGACAGTCGGCCGCCCATCGGTTCTGCTCTTGCCGGCGGCTGGCCTGCCTGTCTAACGCGGCTCCCTCGCTCCGCCCGCGCCCGCCGCTTTGTGCAGCAGAGCAAGGAGAAGGGAAAGCAGCCTCTGGGCAAGCCCTCGGATGACCTGGGGGCCCAGCTGCAGGCGGCGCGCGAGGCCAAGAAGCGCAAGCTGCAGGCTGCTGCCGCGGCGGCGGCGGCATCTGGCGAGGCCGCCTCCCCCGCCGCCAAAAAGTCCAGGTTGCAGCACCTGCTGAACCCTGTGCGGGGCGCGGCGGCGCAGCCTGCCGCGGCGGCGGCCGGCCTGGTGCCTTCGGGCGGGCAGGGCAGCCCCGCTGAGGTCTGCCGCCTGGATCATGCGGGCAGCAATGCGGGGCTGCTGGTAGCAGGGGCGGCCGCGGGCACGCTGGCGGGCACCAAGGCGCGGCGGCAGCAGCAGCAGGGCGAGAGCGAGTCGCGTGTGGTCGGCTCCGCAGGCAAGCAGCAGGCGGCGGGCAAGGGCAAGGCGGCTGCGGCCGGCGGCAGCAGCAAAGCCAGGGCTAGGCCAGCGCCGGCGCCGGCGCCGGCGGCGACGGCGTCGCCAAGCAAGGCACCTGCCGCCAGCAAGGGCAAGCAGACGCTGCTGACCTCACCCGCCAAGAGCATGCTGAGCAACGGCGGCGGCCGCGCCGCGCCGGCGGTGCTGCGTCAGCACGAGATGCCTGCCCTGGCGCCTGGCCAGTCTGACAGGCTGGCGCGGGCAGAGTGGCGGGACGACTGCGCCAAGGTGATGAGCGCCAGCGGCGACTACCAGGAGGTCTACTGGTGAGGAGATGGCTGCTAGGGAGGATGTTGTTGCATCATGCCGCGACTCGCACGTGTGCCTGGCACGGCGTTGCACTCTGCGTGTCGTAAGCGACGCCTCGCGTGCATAGCGTGGCTCTGCGTACCGGGCCTGCGGCCTGGTTGGAGCGGCGGGCCGCCCTGCTGTGCCCCTTCCGTCGACAGCGCCCGGCGCTCCCTTCCGTTGACGGCGCTCCGCCCCCGCAGGTTTGACCGAGTGGAGGACAAGGACGGCTCTGTGCTCCGAGTTTGGTCGGAGACCCTAGTGTGAGCCTGCGCCTGCGGCTGCAGGCCGATTTATTGGGTTTAGGGTTTAATGTCGCTGCTGCCACCGTTCTGTGGCATGCACCGCACCGCTGTTTTGCTGGCCTGGTCCCTGTGCGGGCCTTCCTCCCTGCGCCTGCCTGCTTCCTTCCCCCAAAAAGCAACGGGTGCATTCTCGTTGCTCCCAACCCCTCCGCCGCAGCGTGCCAGAGGCGCTCTGCTTCAGGGCCAAGTCCGACAAGCGGCTGCGCAGCTGGAAGGTCAAGGCGCAGGAGGAGGATGCGGAGTATGTGGTGGAGGCGCTGGTGAGGTGGCGGGCGCTGAGGTGGCGGGCGCTGAGCTGGCGGGCGCTGAGGTGGCAGGCGCCGAGGTGGCGGGCGCTGAGCTGGGCGGGCCCGCTGGGCTGGACGGATACGGATCGACGCATTGCCGCTGCTGCTCCGCCGCAACACTCCCCGGCCAGCTGACCGCGAGCCGCCGCCCGCCACCCCCGCCGCTGCTCCCTCCTGCCCCGCAGCTGGCGGAGGCGGAGGATGAGGATGGCGAGGTGTCCTACTTTGCCAAGTGGCGGGGGTATGAGGTGGACCCTGGCGATGGCGGGTGGCTGACAGAGGCGGAGATGGATCATGTGAGTGGCGGCGGCGCCGGCTGCCAGCCTGGTGGGCTGCCTTGCCGGATTGCGGCGGCGGCGCCGGGTGCCAAGCCTGCCAGCCGGGTGGGCTGCCTGCCGGATTGTGGTGGCGGCGGCAGCGGCCGAGCCAGCCAGCCCGGTGGGCTGTCTTGCTGCGGTTCTCGCGCATTGCGGCGACGGCCCTGAGGCTTCCATTGTTGCCAGGCTGCCCTGCCGGGCCGGGCCGTTTACCCCTCATGGCGAGCGCTGGCGCGCTTGGGCGCGACGCCACCCTGCTTCCTCTCTGACCGCCTGCGTGCCTGCGCTCGCTGCCCGGTTGCGTGTGGCTGCAGTGCCGCGGCGTGCTGCTGGACTGGCATCAGAAGGGGCGGCATGCGTGGCAGAAGGCGTGCCGCAGCTTGCGCCAGCAGGCGGGCCTGGCTTGAGGCGCGGCCTTGGCCTGGTGTGTCAGCAGGCAGGCAGGGCATCTCACTGAGGGGCTGCACCAACACCTGAACTCGACACCTGAGAATCCGACGCTGCAGCTGACGTGCACTTGCAAATTGAATTGGGCCACACGCCACCCCCACTCCCGTGCATAACTCGCATCTCCCAACCACCACGCCTCTGCTTCAGTTATTGACACTGAACACTAACTGATCGCGGCAATGTTATCGAACACTGACCGTCTGCATTGAGCCTCTCATGGGTAGTGGCAAGGGGGAGGAATAATTACCAGCCCTGCACGAAGATGCATGCATGCTAGGAAAGGCAACAAACGGTGCACACAGCCGTATGCAGAGCTACCAGGCAGCACGGTGCCTGATGCTGCAACGGTATAGCAGCACAGGCAGGCGTCACTTGCGCGGTTGCCACATGGCGCCGCCCGACGGTTTGGGCGGCGTGGCCGCGGGAGCGCCGCCAAAGCCGCCAAAGCCGCCGCCGGCAGCCTGCTGCCTGCGCAGCGGCAAGGAGGCGAGCAGGAGGGGCTGTGCTGGGGAGGGGAGGCAAGCTGAGCTCTGCCTCAGATGAAGCTATACAGGGTCACCTGCCCCGCATCCCCATGCAGGCACCGGCCCTAAGCATGTGCTGCCAGGGAGGCACAATGTGGCTGGCAGCGCCCAGAGCCACTCACCCAAAGCCGCCGCCTCCAAAGGGGCTGCCGCCGCCGGCGGCGGGCTGCTGGCCAAAGGCGCCAAAGCCGCCGCCCTGCTGCTGCGCCGCCGCAAAGCCGGCTGACTGGCCGAACGCGGGCTGGCTGGCGGGCTGCCTGCACACACACACACCATAAGCAGGTGCAGAGAAATGCAGCTCAACATAGGGCAAAACGCACGGGCAAAACGCAGAATTCAAGCAGTGTAGACTGCACGCGCTGCTTCAGGTGCAGAAAAGCAAAGATTGTGAGGGCCAAGCAGCGCGGCAGGTGCCCACCCTCCAAAGGCCCCAAAGCCGCCGCTGGGCTGCGCCGGCGCGCCAAACACGGACGCCGGCTGGGCGGCAGCGGCGCCAAAGGCGCTGGGCTGTCCAAAGGCGGACTGGCTGGCGGCGGCGCCAAAGCCCGCGGGCTGGCCAAAGCCGCCCGCCGCGGGCGCCCCAAACGCGGGCTGGGAGGCGGCTGCGCCAAACCCTGCAGAGGAGCGCAACGCAGGAGACGGGTGGTAAGCTAATTTGCAATTAAAAACAATGTTGGTTTCTTGTAGGACAGAAAGAGTATGCCCCAGAGAAGGTACGGGCTGCCCAGCGGGCCAGTTATCCGATCAACGCCAGCAATTGAACGTGCTCAACAGCAGCGGCTGTGCTCACCGCTGGGGGCCTGGCCGAATCCAGGCGTGGCCGGCGCGCCAAACACGCTGCCCGCGGGCTTGGCGGGGGTGCCAAAGGGCGCGGCGGGAGTGGCCGGCTGCCCAAAGGGGCTGCCGGTGGCTGGGCTGCTGGCGGCGGCGCCAAAGGCGCCAAACATGCTGGCAGCGGCGGCGCTCTGCGGGGCATTAAAGAACAAAAAAGCGAGGGAGTGGAGAGGCTTGCTTATAAACGAGGTGAAGCGGGTTGCTCTGCTCTGCACCAGCATCACAGCATGCCTGCAGCTGTCTGCCGCCGGCGGGCCGCACCTGAGCTCCGCCCCCAAACGCCCCGCTGCCGCCGAAGGGCGAGCTGGCGGCTGCCGCGCTGCTCGCGGCCGCCGGCGCAGCACCGAAGGAAGCAAAGGGGTTGCTGCTGGCGCCTGCGGCGCCGACGCCAAAGGGCGAAGCCGCAGCGGCGCTGCTGGCGGCAGCCCCAAACAGAGATGCGGGGGCCGTCGTGCCGCTGGCTGCTGCGCCGAACACAGACGCAGGAGCTGCTGCGGTGCTGGCTGCGCCAAAGGGGCTTGCAGGTGCGCCGGCGGCGGCCGTCGACGGCACCCCAAACCCAAACGACGGCGTGGCGGCTGCTGAGCTGGCGGCACCAAAGGCGATGCCTGTCCCGAACCGAGAGGCCGCCTCCCCGCTGGCTGCCGCGCTGCCGGCGCCTCCCAACCCGAAAGACGCAAAGCTGACCGAAGCAGCCGCCTCGCCGCCAGCCGCCGAGGATGCAGCCGCAGGCGGGGTGGCGGCCGGCGCTGCTGGCGCTGCCGCTGCACCAAACAGGCCCCCTGCTGCGCTGCTGGCTCCAAAGCCAAACGAAGGCGCCGAGGCGGCGGCTGCCGGGGCGGCAGCCGCACTGCTGCCGGCCGCTCCTGCTGCGGAGCTGCTGCTCAGGAAGGCGTTGAGGCGCTCCTGTGCTGCCTGGGCTGCTGCTGCCGAGGGCATGGGCGGCTGCCCGCTGCCCGCCGCTGGCTGCACCTTTGCCAGCAGCTTCTGTGACTCTGCCGCTTGGGCGAGGCTGGGCATGGGCGGCTGGGAGGCGGAGGCCTTGGGCTTTGTCTCCTGAGCTGGCTTGGCTGCTATGCCCGCTTTGCTCAGCAGCTTCTGCGACTCTGCTGCCTGCGCCAGGCTGGGCATGGGCGGCTGCGAGGAAGCTGCCTTGGGCTTAACGGCCGGCTTGCCTGCATGGGACAGCGCAGCGTGGGGACATGCACACCTTGAGAGCGGCCAGCCTGGGAGACGGCAGCAGCGTGCAGCAGCAGCCAGAGCCCTGGCGGCAGCCCCGGCATGCGACGCACCAAACAGGCTGCCGGCGGTGTGCAGCTGGCTGTCCCGGTAGTACCCCAGCCCGCTGCCATCCAGCTTGAACACATAGCCGGGCCTGGCGCCCTCAAACGCGGCGGCGGGCAGGAAGAAAGCATCGCCGCCGCCGGCGGCAGCCCCTGGAGGAGGGCAGGCATGCAGGGCTGACGCTACCCTCCGGAGAGCACCAGGGGCAGCAGCAGCAGCGGCAGCAGAGGCTGCAGCCCGCAAAGGCTGGCCAAGATAGCAGCGGCAGCAGCAGGGTACTCACCTCTTGCACCAGAAGACGCGCTGCTGGTGGGGCTGCTGCCAAAGGGAGCGCCGAAAGCCGTGGCGGCGGCGCCAAAGCCGCTGCCCGGCGCGCCAAAGCCGCCGAGCGGGGCTGCTGCCGGCGGCGCCTTGGCTGCTGGCTTGGGCGCTGCTGCCAGGCTGAAGGGTGGGAGCTCCGGAGGCGGCGCAGGCGCCGGCGAGGCGGGCTGGGCAGCAGGGGCGGCGGGTGCGGCGGGCGCCAGAGCGGCAGCCCGCTTCTTGGCTGTCGTCACCCTCACGCCGCCGCCGTCGGCCTGGCAGCGCTGCAACAGCTGCCGCTGCAGCTGCTGCCACCGCCCTGCCGTCGTCGAGCCGCCGCCGCCGCCTGCTGTTGCCGAGGGGGAGGTGAGGCCCAACGGCGACCGCCGCTGCTGGCTCTGAGGCGTCTGGCTGCCGCGCTGCTGCGAGGCGGGAGACTCGGCCACCAGGCGCCAGGGCGACCGCCGCCGCCCGGTGCTGTCGTGGGGAACTGGCGAATGGGGGCCGGCGCCTCGTGCGCCGGGCGTGGCGCTGCCGGGGGTCAGCACCAGGCGGGTGAGCTTGCGGCCCAGCGGCAGCCCGCCGGCCTCCTCCTCCTCTGCAGCACATGACATTGGAAGGGCTGTTCTTCATCGTGCCTCCCCGCAGAGCAGACGGAGGTTCTCACAGCAAGGGCCCAGCGCCCAGCGCGCTTGGCAGCCAGCCAGCATTTGCTGCCAGTACCATTAAGTGGTATTGGTGCGGTACAGTCACATGGTCCTGCCGGATGGTACATAATGCGGTACCTGCCAGCTCATCAAGGTCCAGGTCCAGATCCACATCCTCCAGCAGCCCCCTCGCCTCCAGCCGAGACGTCAGCTCCTGCAGCCGCACCGCCTGCAGTGCGGGGAGGGGAGGCCGGCGGGCATGCAGGGGCTCATGGCAGGCACAGGGCAACAGGCGGGCACGGGACCGGCCCCGCGCTGGCCTAGCGCCCCATCTCAACCACTGCAAGGGGAAGAAAGAACACACCACACAGGGCTGCGGGGCCTGCAGGGGCTGCCGCACCGGCCCGGCACCTGGGATTGGATGATGGCCATCTGGGCGTTGACGGTGTTGTAGATGTGCTGCGTGGTGAGCCGCGGCGGCGCGGCGTCGGAGCGCAGCTGCCGCTGCCGCTCCTCCATGGCCTGAACAGCCAAGAGGCAGGGAGGTACTGATTATGGTGACTGTTAAGCGCACAACGGTGGAGAGAAACGCGCGAGGCCGGCTGGCAAGGCAGGACCTGGCGCCGCCGATGCAAGGGCCTGAACAGGCGTGCATGCCTGGCAGGCTGGCAGGGCGAGCTTGCCCACACGCCTCCCCACCAGCCCTGCCAGCCGCCCACCATCAGGCACTCTTGCAGGTCGTCGGCCGTCAGGCGCAGCTGCTGCAGCTGGCGGCGGATGTCGTCCCTGCAGGGGTGCGCGGGCATGGGAGCCGGGGCGCCAGCCGGCGGCAGTTCCCGTCAGCCGGCAAATGAAGTAGAGAGCCGGGCAGGCTGGGAGGCTGCCGTGCGCTGTAGCTGCAAAGCACTGCGCTGCAGGCGTGGCCCCCCTGAGGCAGCGCTGAAGGCTGCGGCTGGGAGGCTGATGGTGCAACTGCCAAGCACAGTGCTGCCGGCTGCGGCGGAGAGGCTGCCAGCTGGCAGCAGCACAGGCGCACCTCAGGGCGCCCAGAGCCGGCTCCAGCGGCTGCCTCTGCAGCAGCTGCTGCGCGCCGCCGCGCGCCGCCGCGCCGGGCTCAAACGCCGGCATCGCGTCGCACTTGCGCAGCGCGTCCTGCGTGGCAGGGCGGGATGGTGGTGGCTTTGGTTAACCATCAGGAGCCTGGGAGATGCAGTGCCACATTGGCTGCTGAGGGAGACCAACAGGAGCGCACAGTGGCTAGCAGCCACTGCCAGCTCAGAGCCTGCCAGCTGGCGGCCACCTGGCGGCTTCCCTCACCTTGGCCGCCGCCACCATCTCCGCGACCTGCTGCCGTTGCTGCTCCAGCCGCGCGGCGGCCGCCGCCGCTGCCGCCTGCACCTTGCGCGTGCGCTGCTGCAGCTGGCAGAAGGCCGCAGCGCCGCTGGTGCCATCCAAGCCCTGCAGGCCAGCCGCCACCCGCCGCCGCTGGTCAGAACCGGCAACCCCAGAGCCCTTGGGGTGAACAGCAGGTGCAGCGGCGAGGCGCTGCTTTATCAGATTCAATCGGAGCCAGGCCAGCCTGCACATGCAAAGCTGCCGCGTGCAGAAAGCCCCGTCCATGCCATGCAGCCGGCCAGGCAGGCAGGCCACAGCAGGCCGCCCCTGCACCTTGAGCGCCGCAGCCAGGGTGTCGTGCATCTCTGCCTCCAGCTGCCGCGTCTGGTGCAGGGAGCGAAGAAAGTCGGCCTCCATAGCGGCGGCCTCCTGGGCCTCGCCTGCGGAAATGCGGAGGAGGAAAGCAACAGCAGCAGGGGCGGGGGGGGGGGGTAGGCGCCGGATGCTCGAGACGCCGGGGATGGGCCTAGGGCAAGGGGAACGGCACCAAAGGCCGAACCCCAGCAGGCGGGAGCGCTGTGGAGGCGGCAAGGGCAGCAGGCAGCAACGGGCTGCGCCCGCGGCTGCAGCGGCGGCAGCGCACACCTGCCAGCTGTGGGAGGGGCGCCTCCACTGCTGTCTTTGGCGGCGGGGCTGGTGCGGCAGCCTTGGGGGGCGCTGGCGCTGGTGGGGGTGGCGGCTGCCCGCTGCCCGCCGCTGGCTGCACCTTTGCCAGCAGCTTCTGAGACTCTGCTGCTTGGGCCAGGCTGGGCATGGGCGGCTGCGAGGCTTTGGCCTTGGGCTTGGCAGCCGCTGGTGCCAGGGCAGGCGCCGCTGCTGTGCTGGCAGCCGGGGCAGGTGCCGCTGCGCTGCTGGCAGCTGGGGCGGCGCCAAACGGCGCAGCAGCCGCGGTTGCGCCCGCAAAGAGGGTGCTGCCGCTGCTGGGTGCGGTGCCAAAGGCAAAGGCCGGTGCCGAGGCAGCTGCCGCGGTACCAGCTGCACTGCTGGTAGGAACTCCAAAGCCAAAGGCGGGCGTCGAGGCAGCGGGTGCTGCTGCCGAGCTGCTGGTGGCTGTGCTGCTGGCGGCGGCGGCGCCAAAGCCGAAGCCCCCGAGTGCGGGCGCGGCGGCGGCGCCGCTGGCAGGTGTGCCAAAGCCAAAGGCGGGTGCCGAGGCTGGCTGGGTGCCAAGGCCAAAGGCCGGAGTGGAGCCGGCTGCTGCCGCGCCAAACAGAGAAACGCCAGAGGCCGGCCCAGAGGCAAAGGCAAAGAGAGGCTTGGCCGCCGCCGCCGCGCCCTTGTCCGCGGCAGGCGCAGCCGGCGCGGCGAGGCCCTTCTTGGGGGCGGCGGCGGCAGCAGCCGGCGCAGCGCTTTTGGGCGTGCCCGCCTCCTCCTCCTCCTCCTCCTCCTGCAGGCAGGCAGGCAGGCAGGCAGGCAGGGCAGGCAGGACAGTGAGATCAGTTTCAGCAGTACACTGCCTGGTGCACGGCACGGCCTGCCTCAGGCTGGAAAGCACAGCAGCAATGCACCGCGCCAGCGCCTGGCGGGTCGCGTGCTGCCCCTCACACACCACCCCCTCGCTTTCCAAAGCGCCACGCCAGCCCTACCTCAAAGTCGCTCTCTGGCAGCGCGGTGGCGGCTGCCTTTGCCTCAGCCGCCGCAGCCCCTCCCTCCTCCTCCTCCTCCTCCTCCAAATCAGACTCCTCATCAGGAAGCGCGGCCTCCGCCGCTCGCTCCTCGGCGCTGGCAAGGGCAGGCGGCGCAGCAGCGACGGGCGTGGCAGGCGCCGCGCCGGCTGCCAGCGCGGGCGGCGCGGGGAGCTGCTGAGGTGGCGCCACGATGCAGGGGCCGGCCGGGGAGGAGGGTGTGGCCATGCGACCAAAGGTGTAGCACCGCAGCACGCCATCAGATGTGGCAACCTGCAGGGCACAGTCGACATAGAAAGCACATGTGTTGTGTAGAGCGGCCGAAGCGGAAGCAACCGCATCGCCGCAGCCACGGGTGGCACCCACAGCAGCAGCAGCGGCCCGCAGCAGCCAGCTCGGTGCCTGCCCGCCTCCCATTGCTGCGCACGGTCGCAGCGGCAGCCGCCCACGACCGGCCACCTCCCACGCTGCAGCGGTGCGCGTCCCGGGTCGAGGTGGAGCGCGCTCACCAGCAGCACGGGCTGGGGCGGCAGGTCTGGGGCGGTGTCGTCTGTGGGATGCAGCACTGGCACCTCCGTGCAGGTAAGGTCCACACCCAACCCCACCACAAAGTTGTCGGCATCCTCTGCAGGAGGTGGGGGCGAGGTGTGGGTTGGGGCAAATCAGGAGGGCCCATATGAGGAGGACGAGGGGTGGACCCGGCGGGCAGCCCGGCAGGGGACTGGCTTTGGCCGGCCAGAGACGGGAGGCTGCGCAGGGCGGGGCCCCAGGCTCGGTGTGATTTCGCTCTCAAGGGCTGGCTTGCCACAGCCGCCCACGCCTGGCTCGCCGCAGCGTTGCGCGCGCCGGCAGCAGCCTGTGCTTGCCTGGCGCGTTTGGTATGCGGATGGCCAGTCGGTCGTCGGTGACATCTGCCGCCACCGGGCGGCCGCCCACCAGCGCTGCCAGCTTCACATGGTCATCGTTGGCCTTGCGGTGGGCGTAGACCGCAGCCGACCACTGCGGGGACGGCAGGCAGGCAGGGCAGGAAGGAAGGCAGGCAGGTGAGCAGGGGAGGTGAGCAGGTGGGGTGGGCAGACGAGCAGGTGGGCAGCGAGGCGAGGCAGCCAAGTTTGGGAGGGCAGCTGCTGCAGCCACCTCAGCTGCCACACGCACGCAGACACACACCTGCGGCACGGTGGCCGTCTGCAGCCAGGGCCCGCGGGCGACGTCATCCCCCGAAATGTTGTTGGCGAAAAACTCTGCAGCACGACAGGGGGTGGGTGCAGCTGTTCAGCAGCGGGCTGCAGTTCAGTTCCGGACGATGCGGTGTAGGGTTGCTTCGCGGCAAAACAGCAGACGCCTGCAGCTGCAAGACAGACCCCAGCCGTGCGTCCGCTGGCGGCAGCAGCGCACCCGACAGCGCCAGGCTGCCCTCCGTGGGCGCCGCGCCCTGCCACGTCAGCATGCACAGCGGCGCGTACGGCTCCTCGGCGCCCCCCGTCGCCAGCTTGCTGCTGACCAGCAGCGCCGCCTCGCCCACCCAGGCAACGCTGTCCACCTGCGGCCGCAGCAGGCGAGCACACGAGCGGCGGCGGCAGGGGGCAGGTGAGGATGAGGGCCTGCCAGGGGCTGATAAGGAGGAGCAAGGAGGAGCAAGGAGCGCACACGCGAGAGCAACGCACGGCACAACACCCAAGCGGCCAAACCCCGCCTGCGGCTGCTGCAGGCGGCCTCGGGGCTGCCTCGGGGGCGCTCAGCTGCAGCAGGCTGCGTCGTGTTCCAGGCAGGGGGGAAGAGGGGCGCACCTGCAGCTCTTGATCGTCGTCCTGCACCTCAGTTGACAGCACCCGCACTGCAGCTGCCTGCTGCCAGCCGCCCACCACGCCGCCTGGCGCGGCAGCGTAGATGCCCACCTCGTCACCTGCTCCAACGGCCAGCCTGGCGCCGTCGGGGCTCCACGCCAGGCACGCCGCCGGCAGGCCGGCAGCCGCGGCCAGCGCAGCCGGCGCTGCGCCGCTGGCCAGGCTGAGCAGCTGGATGCTGCCGTCTGCCAGCAGGGCTGCGAGCTCGGCGGCTGCACCGGGGCGCCACGCCACCTGCACGGCCGCCTGGGGCAGCGACACCTCCGCCAGCGCAGTGGCGCTGCCCGCCATCAGCTCCCGCGTGCTGTAGACTCGCACCGAGGCGCCGCTGCAGGCCGCAAGCAGCGCGTCGTCGGCAGACAGCGCCAGCAGCGCGGCTCCGGGCAGCGGCAGCACTGCAGCGGCCACCTCGGCTGGGCTGGTGGCCGCCATCTCCCTGCAGGGTCTGGGTGGAGTGACTGTTTTACTATATTCTACCGGTGGAGGTTACAAAGCAAGGCCTGTAGCTAGCTTCCGGCACCAGTAACTGCAGGCAAGGCACCAGAAAGATGCCAACCCAGGGCTGCTCCCACTCACTCGTCGCTGTTGTTCCATTTCTGCAGCCATGGCAGCAGCGCGCTGGTCCGGCACGCGTACACCCCTGCAGGCGGCGGCGGCAGCGGCGGGGCGTGCACGCCGTTGGGGCACGGGGCAACCATGTTCTGCATGCGTTGGGCTAAGCAAAGCACCGTCGCTGGTATTCACAGCTGGTATTCACAGCTGGTATTCACCGCTCTCCCACACACCTTGTGCGTCGCTGAAGAAGACGGCGCCGCAGCGGGCGGCCACCGCCAGGCTGCTGGCGGGGCCGGGGAAGGCCTGGGCGCTGGCGGGGCTGAAGCACAGCTCGCCCAGGCGCTTGAAAAAGTAGCCGAGCTCCTCGGAGACCTCCGCCTCCAGCACCTCAGGTGGCTCCATACCGCCGCTGCCTGCCGGGACTTGTGCAGCAGGCGAGCAAAGAGGGTGGGGCGGCGCTCGGGCCGGATGCAATCAGTCCTGCGGCCAGGAGTTTGGGCTTATTAGCAGCGCGCAACGAGGTGATTGGCGTCGGCAGGCCCGGCAGCTGGGTGTTGGGCAGCTTGCTGCTGCATCTCCCGGCAAGTACGATGCATCGTGCATACTCTCAAGGTTGCCTAGCAGCCAGCAGGGGCCGCCAGGCGCCCATCGCGGTGATCAAAGTGCGCAGGGTTGCCAGGGAGTCTCACCTCAAGCATGGATCGATCACGTTATGGTGATACGATTATACAAGCGCAGAAGCGACCAAACCTCCACCACCTGCTGCCTGCTGTGCCGTGCTGGGCCAGTGGACGGCTTCTGCCTCAATTTGGGCCGCCGATCGCTGTACATTGTTATTGCAGACAGTTCAAAGCACATCGTGCTGGCCGCTGCCCACCCCGCGCTCGTAGGCCATGGTGGGGCAGCAGAGGGTGGCCATTCTGGCCACCTGCAACCTGGACCAGTGGGCCATGGACTTCGAGGGCAACCTGCGCCGCATCACCCGCTCCATCGCCGAGGCCCGCCGCCGCGGCGCCCACTACCGGGTGCGCGCCGTGTCGCAGCTGCTGCCCAGGCAGCCTTTCCCATCTCATGTCCCATGGCAGCAGCCAATCTCTAGGTCGGCCAGGACACAGGCGATGGGCCGATACCTGCTTGCAGCCGCCGCATTCGCCCGCCTGCTCTGCCCCAACGTGCGAGCCACTGCCCCTCCCCTCCCCGCGCTCCCCTCCCGCCCGCCTGCCGCTCACCTGCAGGTGGGTCCTGAGCTGGAGATCCCGGGGTACGGCTGCGAGGACCACTTCATGGAGCACGACACTGTGGATCACTCCTGGGTGAGACGCCTGTGGATGGGGATGGGGTTGGGCTGAGCACGCCCTGGGCAAGGAAGCGGGCGTCATCGCCACGCCAACAGCGCAGCACCCAGGCCGGGTGCGGCGCCTGCGATCGAGCAGCCCCCGCCTCGCCTGCCCCTCTGCGCAGGAGTGCGTGGCGGAACTGATGGGGGGGGGGCACACCGACGGCATGGTGTGCGATGTGGGCATGCCGGTGATGCACCGCGGCGTGCGCTACAACTGCCGCGTCTTACTGCTCAACCGCCGTGTGCTGCTCATCCGCCCCAAGCTGCACCTGGCCAATGACGGCAACTACAGGCAGGGGGCTGGTGCCGGGTCCGGATGATGGCGCTACCTGCCCTGCCATGCCGGTGGACCTCGCTCGCAGCTCCCGCCGCCGTCGTAGAACAAGCTGCAGGAAACAGCGGCCCGTCCAGGCTTTTCCCGCCGGCATGCCTGCCTCATCCTGATGTGCTTGCACCCCCTGGCTGCCGCCGTCGCCAGGGAGACCCGCTACTTTGCCACCTGGAAGCGGCGGCGGCAGGTGGAGGAGCACACGCTGCCCGCAGAGCTGCAGCAGCTGACGGGGCAGCGGCGGTGCCCGTTTGGCGACGCAGGCAGGGCATGCAGCGCTGCACGCATGCTGTCTCTGCAGCGCCAGCTCAGCATTCAAAACCACGGCCTTCTTGAGGACCTGGCAGGGAGAACCTACTCAGTCTGCCGCTGCGCCTGAGGTGGGCTCCCGCCTATCCTGACCGCCCTGCCTGGCCGCCGCGTCCCCCTGCAGCCCTCTGCTTCCAAGACACGGTCCTGGCGGCAGAGACGTGCGAGGAGCTGTTCACGCCGCAGGCGCCGCACATCGGTCTGGCGCTCGCGGGTGCGTCCAGCTGGCTGCTGGCTGGACCAAGGTGCATGTGCTTGGTGGGTTGGGACCCTAGGGGCTGCTCCTTTCCAGCATCCGCATGTGACCTGCCGGAGCCTCCCCCTGCGTGCGGCCCTGCCGTGGCCTGCGCCGCAGGCGTGGAGATCATCAGCAACGGCAGCGGCAGCCACCACCAGCTGCGCAAGCTGAACCAGGTGCGGGGTGCAGGCTGGCTTGTGAGGGTGCTGGCATGCACCGGCAGGCATGTGCACAACCTTGGATCAAGCCTGGAGTGCAGCCTGCGCCGGGCCTCTTCTGCCACACATGGCCAACATGCCTTGGCCCGTACCGCCACCTGTACCGCAGCGCCTGGACCTGATGATGAACGGTACCGCCAAGTCGGGAGGAGTGTACCTCTACGCAAACCAGCGCGGCTGCGACGGCGGCCGCCTCTACTTTGATGGCTGCGCGGCCGTGGTGGTCAACGGGAATCTGGTGGCACAGGTGGGCCCCTGGCTGGCACATGCGCGTGGCGAGCATCTGTGGCCTTCGGCCGGCGGGAGTGCGGTATCTGCAGGGAGTGCGGGCTGCAGGAGGCCGGGGGGCGAGCCCTGCGCTCGCTCCTGCTGCTGCTGCGCCAGGGGATGGACCCTCCTACTAATGCAACACACTCTCAGCGCTCTGTGCCGTGCCCCTGCCGCCTTGCCCGGTATGCAGGGCTCCCAGTTCAGCCTGCGGGAGGTGGAGGTGGTGACGGCCACCGTGGACCTTGATGAGGTGGTCAGCTACCGGGGGGCAGGTGGGAGCAGCGGTCCTGGGCAGCAAAAGCACTGGTGTATTTGTTGCGGGGTTGTTGTATTCATTGATGCTATGCTGGGCACTTGCTGCACACTTGCTGCACACTTGCTGCACACTTTTCTGCACTTTCTCTGCCTTGTGCCTGGCCCGCTGCGTCCCAGCTTGCCGCGCCCTCGCTGCACAGCCAGCCAAGACCTTCTGGAGCCCACGCCCTGCTCGCTGCTCCCTGCCCGCAGTGGCCAGCCTCCAGGAGCAGGCCAGCAGCGCGGAGCCGGTGCCGCTGGTGCATGTGGACTTCAGGTGAGAAAGAAAGACAGTGCCTAACTTCGGTACTGATTAAGGCCACACCCCACCCCCAATGGCCACTCCATGCAAACCCTGGTGTGATGCGAACTCTGCCGCCAAGTCTGCTGTGTGTTGAGTCTCCTGCTTCTCCACTGTTGACCCCATGCTGCTGCTCTTGCTGCTGCGCTGCCTTGCGATCGTCTGCTGCTCAGCCTCTGCTGCCCCGCCGGCAGCGCCATGAGCCTGCCCACGCCGCCCCGGCAGCCCTTCTACCACACACCGGAGGAGGAGATTGCTCGGGGCCCCGCCTGCTGGCTCTGGGACTACCTCCGTAGGTAGGCTTCAAAGCCTGCCCGCCTGCCTGCCTGCCTGCTGTGCCCTGGGCTCGCCTAACTGCCTCCTTCCCCTGCCACCTGCCGAGTGCCCATGATGCATGCACAGCTAGCCAGCGGCCCACACTAATGCTGCCTGCACGCCACGCCATGCCTCGCCCCGACTCGCAGGGCCGGCGCCAGCGGCTTCCTGCTGCCCCTCAGCGGCGGCGCGGACAGCAGCAGCGTGGCTGCCATCGTGGGCTGCATGTGCCAGATGGTGTGCGCCGCGGCGGCGGCAGGCGACGAGGATGTGCTGGCAGATGCTGTCAGGTGGGGCCCCCACATGCCTTCACCACCTAGGTGCATTGCATCGCACTCTGCAGCCTGCCTGAGGGAGGCTAGGCTGGTTTAAGGCGCCTGCCTGACGCCCCTTGGCCACCCTGTGCGGCGCATTGGGATGCGCCTGCAGGGTGGGGCAGTACAGCGAGGGCCAGCGGCCGCGGGACGCCGCAGAGCTGGCCAACCGGCTGCTGACGTGCGTGTACATGGGAACAGAGGTGGGTATCTGTCCCTATGGCATGAGCAATGTGTGCTGTGCGTATGGTGATGGAGTGTGATTTTGCGAGTGGTATTGGATGGCTGACGTACCGCGAAAACACTCATGCCGTGCCCGCGCTTTGCGCCTGCAGAACAGCAGCCAGGAGACGCGGGAGCGCGCGGGCCAGCTGGCGGGCCAGGTAGGGCACACCATGCACACCAAACCCGGTTCACACGGAAAAATGTGCTGGGGCAGCCCACACCGCTGCGCCTGCCAGCGCCACTGTGTGTGTTTGGGTGTGTTCTGATACAGCCCTCGCCCTACTCTGGCTCCCAGGTGGGCGCCTACCACCTGAGCGTGAAGATAGACTCGGTGGTGGCAGCCATGACCAACCTCTTTGCCGCCATCACCGGCCGCATGCCGCGCTTCAGGTGAAGGCCGGGTGGGGCGGGTAGGCCCGCTCAGCTGAGGGGCAGGCACAACCCCGCCTCGCTGCGTGTGTTTGCTAGTGTCGCCGGCCCCATACTGCCTCGCGTGTTGCCTCTTTGTGCCGCCCTCATGCCCCGCCTCCTCCCTTCCCCTCCTCACCTGATTTTCCCTCAACGCTCTCCGCTGCTGCTTGTCAAGAGCAGGGTGCACGGCGGCAGCCCGGCAGAGAACCTGGCTCTGCAGAACATCCAGGCCCGACTGCGCATGGTGCTCGCCTTCCTGCTGGCGCAGGCAAGCCCCTGCTGGTGCAGCCCTGCTGCTGGGCCTGATTGGTTGGGCAGCCTCGGCTTGGACTTCACCGCTGCTGCGTGTTGCGGCTGCTCCTGCTGCTGTTAAGGGACAGCAGCATGACAGGAGGTGCAGTAGGAGAGGGTGTGCCTGCGTGCCTCCCCGTCTCCCCATGTGTGCAGCTCATGCCCTGGGTGCGCGGCCGCTCCGGCTTCTTGCTTGTCCTGGGCTCAGGTGCGGCGATGCACCGGCCCTGCCTGCATGGATGTTGGGCGCCCTGCTGTCATCGGCCTGACCCGTATTGCGTCGTGGGCCCAACTACCGCTCGGCTGCGCTTTCCCATGCTGTGCTGTGCAGCCAACGTGGATGAGGGGCTGCGGGGGTACCTCACCAAGTACGACTGCTCCTCAGCAGACATAAACCCCATAGGTAGGCTGGGGCTGGCAAACGAACAAGAGAGAGCGGTAGCTGACCTGCCAAACGTGTCCTGTGGTGGCAGCCGCGACAAGTCGGGGCAGCTAGCTTCCCTATCCTCCATCCCCCCCAACTGCTGCCACGTCTGCTGCCTGCTGTCTGCCTCTCGGTCCACGCCGCAGGCGGCATCAGCAAGGCCGATTTGCGGCGCTTTCTGAAGTGGGGAGCGGTGCACCTGGGCTACGCAGCTCTGGCTGAAGTGGAGGCCGCACGTGAGCGCCCTGCTGGTGGCAGTTGCTGCTGGGGGCAGCGTGTGGGGTGGGGTGGGCCTGTCCCGTCGCATGCCTGACCCAGCATGGGCCCCGCCGTGCAGCACACATGCGCCACTTGCGCCGCACGGCTCGCCGCTTGCCTGCTGCCTGCCGAATGCAGGCTGCCTTGCTGACGCCTTGCCTGCTCCATGCAGCCCCCACCGCCGAGCTGGAGCCCCTGAAGAACGGCGCCGTGGAGCAGACTGACGAGCAGGACATGGGGATGACGTATGAGGTGCGGTCATGTACTGCTGCACTGCTGCATCGCCTTTAGGGCAAATGGTCTGATGGTGCATCTGGCTCGGGCCTGGCAGAGAGGTCTGCATATCTGTCTGTGAGGCGCAGCCAGGTGTTGTTTGTAATGACCTGCCACTATAGGGTGGCCTGTCCTCTCCCCATTGTTCTCACCTTGCCCGTCGGCCCCTGGCTGCCTGGCCGGCTCTGGCCGCAGGAACTGGGCATCTACGGCCGCCTGCGCAAGATCAGCCGCTGCGGACCGGTCAGCATGTTCAGGCAAGCCCTTGGGCGAGCTGCGCTTCGGATGAAGTGCACTTGCTCGCTTGGCCTCTGTGGTGACGCTGCAGCTCTCGCTGCTGGTGACTTGGGATCCTGGTTGCCTGGACTGGCCTGTGTGCAGGGCGCTGCTAGGTCAGTGGCGCGACCGCTGCTCGCCTGCCGAGGTGGCTGAGAAAGTGAAGCACTTTTTCAAGTGAGTGGCGGCCAAGGGCGGCCTGTACTTGGGGAAGCCCTGGCAGCCCTTTGGCTGTGGCCCCCGAGCTGCACCTGAGCCCATCTTTCACCATGATCCAATGCTCCCTCCCCTCCTCTACACTCCCAGGTTCTACGCCATCAACCGCCACAAGGCCACCACCCTCACTCCCGCATACCACGCAGGCACGTGGCACGCCGCCTGCCGCGCCGCGCACGCATCGGCAGGCCTGCGGCGCCGGCCAGGCCCCTGCGCTGTGTGCCACCCACCGCCTCCCCCACCTCTTGCACCTCCCCTTTGAGTTCTGCCAACTGCTCCTTGCTCTCCTCCTTTGAGTTCTGCCAACTGCTCCTTGCTCCCCTCCTCCGTCTGCAGAGAGCTACTCTCCCGACGACAACCGCTTTGACCACCGCCAGTTTCTTTACAACTTCAGGTCGGCGGCGGCAGGCTGTTTGGCCAGCCCTTTCACATTGCCAGCATGCTGTGCGTGAGCCAGACGCAGGCGCAGCACAGCTGCCCTGGCCTCCCCGTGCGTGGCTGCTGTGCGCCCTGCCGCTCTGCTCACCTGCCTGGCGTGCTCAGGCGGGGATCTTGACTGGCTGGCTGGCCGGCTGGTTGGGAATGGTTGTTGCAGGTGGCCCTGGCAGTTCCAGAGGATCGACGACCTGGCGCAGCAGGCGCAGCGGCAGCTGGATGGCGGCGGCGGCGGCGGGCGGCAGCAGGCGGCGCCAGCTCAGCAGGAGCGGCGGCACGAGCAGGCGGCGGCGGGCAGCCGAGATGCTGCGCTGCACAGCAGCTGACAGTCCTCAGGCGGGTGGCGGTTACGATGGCGGCGGTTGTTGCTGGCGTGGCAGCTTGACGGCACAAGTACACGCCAGCTTCATGTCTGCTGCCGCCTGCCCCCGCCGCCGCCCTGACCGCCTGGGTGCGCACTGTTTCTGTTTGATCCACACGGCCGTCTGTGCAACCTGCACAAGGAATTGGGCATCTGAGAAAGGAGTTAGGGGTGTGGGGCAGGCAGAGGGGTTTGTTCAGGGAGGACTTGGGTCAAGGGGGCTGGTGGTGGTGTCCTTTGCTCCGCCCCCTGCGCGCTCGCCGGCGGTACACGTCCCCAAGTGGCCGGTCGGGGGACAGCGGAGGGCGTGAAAAGGAGCCAGCAACGACGATTCTGGCATTCTAAGAGCCAGCAAGCGAAGTTAAGGGGGAACCCAAGCCCAAGCAAACTGGAGGGAGGTGAGCAGCTCAGCCCCGAAAAACACGTCGTCGCAGCAGGCTGGCCGGAAGGCGCCAACGTACCACTGTCCATCGCCCAAAGCGGAGCTCACTCTTGCTCAGAAGGCTCGGTGGCGGAGCAGACCACCGCAGTAACGCAGGAGACATCCCCACGTCCTCCAAGAGGCCGAGTCGCACCATACGCACAGGTGGGCGCCACCGGGGGCGAGAGCAATGCGCTTCCATGCGCTCAGCTCTGAACGTGGGCCCAGCTGCTTGGGGACGCCATGCATGGAACCGCCTTGGCGCCGCCCGTCCTTGCTCCTGCTCACGCTAGAGTTGGACGACGCCTCCGTTTCTGCAGGTGCTACCTCAGCATGCAGCAGTGGCAGCAGCAGCGGGACAAGCGCCGCCGTGTGCTCAGCAGGCCAGATGGTGCGGGCGGCGACGGCGGCGACTGCATCGCAGCCCACCGCCCCCCCACGACACCGTGGCGCTGGCTGCCCTGCCCTCCCACCACACCGCCGCAACACGCCCTCAGCATGCAGTCCTGGCCTGCCGAATGGGCAAGCCCGGTTGCAGCAGCGACTGCGGTGGAGGCAGAAGTCCCGGCGCGCCCCGCCACCTCGCCGCCTTGCGAGGGGCAGCAGCCGCATGCCGTGTCCGCCTCAAGCTGCGCCACCATCGGGCTGCAGCTGCTGGGCTACCCCTGCACCGTCCTGGAAGAGACGCCGCAGCCTGGCTCCCGGCTGGAGCTGCGTGCCCTCCCCAGGTGAGGGTTGGTCAGCTGTATCAGATTTGAAGAGTCAGGCCTGATGAGCCAGGTCCTGGATGAGCACACACGGCCTGAATGCGCCTCGGGTTCCGCCTTGCTGTGCAGGAGTGTGCCCTCCCCAGCCTGCAGCTGGCAGCGGAGCCAGTGCGGCAGCAGCAGCGGCAGCACCGCCACCGGCCCCTCGGGCCCAGAGGTCAGCAGCACCTGGCGGCAAGACGCGGCCGCGCTCCCCTGGTCAGCTGGGCGCTCTGCCTGCACCAGCTCTAGCACCGCCTGCACCAGCTCTAGCAGAACCGCCTGCACCAGCCGGAAGCGCGGGAGAGAGGCAGCCAGCAGGCCGGCTGGATCTGCGGGGCAGCCCGCTGCGCAGCGGCACCACAGGGCTGCGTTGTGGAGCTCCGGCGGCACCCAGCCCGCGACCGCCTGGCCAGGCCCTGATCTCAGCTCAGGGTGAGCGCAACTGTTGGCTGCTCCTCCTCCCACTGTTCCTCATGCTGCATGTGGCAGGCATAGAGGGCTATCTCAGAGTTCAACCGACTGCATCTGTTCCCTTGTCGTTTGCAGGCTGGTCATCCTCTGCCTGCCGCCGCCGGCAGCACCCGGGATCAAGCATGCGCCCATTCCAGCGGCGCCGGCAGCCCCTCCGACAGCAGCTGCTGCTGCTGTGGGTGCCCCGTGGCTGCCCGTTGCGGGGGTGCCGGCTGCCGCCGCCGCGCGCTGCGTGCATCGCGGGGTGGCGCTGCTTGCCGACTTTCCTGCCAGCGGGGAGGGCGCTGAGCTGGCGACCATGGCCAGCTGGCCTCTCAGCTTGAACCTGCACGCAGCTCCGCAGCCGCTCCTCTCATCCTGGTAGCTGTGCCCTCCGGCACATTGTGTAACAGCCGGGGTGTTGGGCACAACCCTCTCTGCACTCCCAACCCACCACACATTTTGCCAAACAGGTGCCCTCGGTTCCACGCACCGCCTTTCACATTTTCATTTCTCTCGATTCATTGTTGAATGTGCACTGCTTTTTTCCGTCCCCTCTTCCTCGGCCATTCGCTTCGCATCCCCTTGATAAAAAGACAATGAATGTCATGCCGCTTGCTGAGCATTGTAACTTAAACATATGCTGCAACGCCGGCTGCTCAGCAGCTATTGTGCAGACAAGCGGGCGCCCATCCACACACAAAAGGAGCTCGGCGCCGCCAGCGGGGCGCCGCCAGCGGGGCGCCGCCACCAGCCCAGTTTCCTTTGCCTCCTTCTCCTGCCTGCTTCCTTTCGCCCGTCCCTCTTCATGGCACGTGGCTCGCCTCCTTGAGCCCTGCGGGCCGGAAACAAGGGGGCCTCGGGTGTGCCGCAATCAGTCGCCGCCCGCTTCCAAGGCCTTGTAGCGCTTTTCCGGCCATAATGGATCGACATGAGCCAGTAACGCAGCGACCTCAGAGGTAGGCCGCCTCTCGTATGTGCTGCCGCCGCCAGCAGCCTGCCGCCGCCCGCCTCCGCCACTCTTCCACCCCACTCGCATTGCTTCGCTCGCTACAGCTTGTCGCCATTCCGGCTGTGCCTGCAGGAAGAGGGCATCGCTGTGGACGCAGGCCGGCGCCCTGGCTCGGAAACAAGCATCCTTCCAGGCACGGCGATTCAAGCCGCCAAAACCAATCCCTCCTGCCTTTGTGTCAAAACCTTCTTCACAAGAACCGCACGCCCTCCCCCTTTCCCCGCCGCCCCTCCCTGCCTCCCTCCTGCAGAAGCGCAAGTGGCTGAGCAACGCGGTGCTGCTGGCGGCGCCCTTCCTCATCTGCATGCTGCTGTGGGTGCTGCAAGACGTGATCAACCAGCAGCTCGACGCCCGCTCCTTCCGATGCGGCTGCAAGTGCCTGTCCTGCTGTGACTGGGTGGCGGCGCCGGGCGGCGCACCCGGCAACACTACCAGCGGCGGTGCAGGCGCCGGCGCCAGCGGCGGCCCCGGCGCAAACTACACCTATCTGTGCTACGAGGCAACTGACGACCGCCCCTGCTCCCCATACGCCAAGTGCCAGGTGAGGCGCGGCCCACGGGGCTGAGCCGGCGTGCTGTGGTCCAGCCCAGTCGGCTGTTGCCCTGCAGCCTGCACGTGCTTGCCAAGGCGCTTGCCATCCCGCCCCGCCCTCCGCTGCATCTCGGGCACATGCCGCTGCGCCCCACTCCTCCTAACACAAACACTTGCACACTCACACACACACACCACACACACCACACACACACACACACCCCTTCCCCTCCCACTGCCCCCGCCAGGCTTACAACGACAGCGAGTGTGGCTTCCTGTTCAGCACCACCGACCAGGCCGGGTTCTGCGCTGTGGAGGAGCCGCCGCTGTGGCCCGCACTGCTGGAGGTGCCGCAGGTGGGTGCCTCCCCGCCTCCCCCCCGCCCTGAGCCTGCCCAGCGCGCCGAGCGTGACGAGCATGTTGGTTGGGAGCCCGGCCGGGGCACCTAGCGCACTGCGGCTGGCTCTGCAGCCCAGCAGGGGTGGGAGCACTGGGGCTGAAACGAGGCGCCTGCATGCTGCTGTGCTGTCAATTCGCCACAAAGAGTGGCCGCCCTTCTGCCCCTCGCCACCACCTCACACACCACGCCCCTGCACACGCGCGCCTGCCCGCCGCCTGCAGGAGCAGCACCGAGGGCCCAAAGCCGCAAACGTCATGCCCGCGGCGCTGCCCACCCCGCCCTCCATCCCGCCCACCGACGCCCCCATGCTCTACACAGGCGCAGACCCCGCTGAAGCGCAGCGGCTCATGGAGGCGATGTGGGGGCGGGCGGCCAGCATCAGTGACGCGGTACTGGCGGCGTACAGCGCGGCGCAGGCGCAGGGCGAGGCGGTGCCCACATCCACAGAGGGGCAGGCCATCAGCAGCGAGCACGATTTCGTGGACGCGGCGGGGGGGCTGGCGCGGGGGCTTTATGACTTTGACCTGCGCATGGGTGAGGGGCGAGGGCTTGCGGAGGAGCTGCGGGGTGGTGCTGGGAGCTTGGGAGCGGGAGTGATGGTGCTGGGGTTGGATAGCTGGGGGGAGGGGTCATAGAGTCAGCAGCAGGAGGCAGCCAGTCAGGCCGACGGCCCCGGCGCTTGCGGCTGGCTGCCGGCCGGCGGCGGGCCAGGCGTCACCTGCCCTGCTTCGCCTGAGGCAAATCTCCTGCCTGCATTTCCTCCCTCCATCTCCTGCCTGCTTCTACCGCAGGCACCTCCGCCGCCACCTCCATCTCGTTGCTCATGGAGCCGGGCTTTGTGGCGCAGAGCAGCGGCGGCGGGGACGCCTCCGCCGCGCGCGCGCCCCTCTACTTTGCCCTGCCCAACTGCTCGGCGCTGGGCGAGGCCGACAGGGACACGCTGGCGCAGATCGGGCAGGCGCGGCCCCTGCTGCGCCCGCTGCCCCGCTGTCCTGCTGCCGCTGCGACTCCTCCAGCCCGGGCTGCCTGCAGCAGCGCGCATGTGTATGCAGGAGCGCCACTCGGCTTGCCTGCTCCATCCCCTGTGCCCTCAGGCTATCACCAACATGACTGGATTCCCTGTGGAGTGCGCCAGCCTGGCGCCCGCCTGGCAGGTGGATGCCAGCTGGATCAACGACCAGGTGGGCTGGCTTTTCGATTTTTGTGTTAACGGTCTGCATGTCCGCAAAGGGACTTGCGACACAGACCCCCCCCCGGGGATCAGGGGATTCTAGGGTTCGTCTGGTGTGGGGCTTGCTTGTGGCAAGGGGTGGCGCCCAGCCGGTGCACACACACGGGGAGCTCCGGCCCAGAGTGGAATCCCAGCAGGCAGCTGTGCAGCCGGGCCGCTTTCGGTCCCGTTGCTTGCCACTTGGGCTGCCTCCCACTGGACAGCGTACTGCCTGGCCCTGCCCCAGGTGTACTGCGGCTGGCGCGGCTCCGACTGCGTGCTGCGGGCGGGGCAGAAGGTCTACCTGCCGCCCGAGGCGGCGGCCGGCCCCGACGGCAGCCCCAGCTCCCAGTGAGGCGCCAGGCTGCCGGGCTGTGCTCTGCTTTAACACAGCGGGGAACCAAGCGCCCACCAGTGGCTGCCCACCTCCCGCCAAGGCCGGCCTGTCCGCGCCGCATCCGAAGCCTCCCTTCTCCCGCCCTGCCACCCTTCCCATCCCCTGCACAACCCGCCCCCCGTGGTGCCAACCCCCTGCAGGTCCTTTGTGTCAGCCCTGTATGACTGGAGCAACACCAGCGCAGCGGGGCTCAACGTGACGGTGTGGGTGAACAACAGCGACGTGGGGGGCGGGGAGGAGGGCGGCGTCCACCCACCCAGCGTGCAGCGCTGGTCCCAGCCCATCAACCTGGCAGGTGTGTGCTGCGGCGGCATGGTCAGTGGTGTGGTCAGCGGCGGCGGCATGGTCAGCGCTGGCGCCGCGCTGGCGGGGAGGCTTGGGTGCTTCGGATGGATGTGCAGCTGCTGCAGCTGCGCGCGGGCTGCCCTGCTGTGCCCCAATCCCTCCCTCCCCACCCTGTTTGCGTGCGCCCGCTGCGCTGCCCCCCGGCTGCAGCCAACGCCTTTCTGAAGCGCCAGCTGGGCCCCGCGCACTCGGCGCGCCTGGTGGGCGTGAAGGACATGCCTCGCGGCTCCTCCCGCCTCTCCCTCGACTTCTCCTCCCTGCTGGGGCCCCTGTTCAGCATGTGGCTCCTGCAGGTGAGGCCCACCTCTCACTGCCACCTGCCGCCTGCTGCTGGATGCCCCGCCCGGCCATGCAGCAGGCAGCAGCAGCGGCGGTGGTGGTCCATCTCCAAATCTCTGGGCCTCCCCGCCTGGTCCTTCCACCAACCATCCACATGCCTGGCGTTGCCTGCCTTGCACCACCAACCCGCCGCCTGCAGCTGATGCTGCCGGTGGGGGTGCACACGCTGGTCCAGGAAAAGGAGCAGCACCTGCGGGTGATGATGAAGATGCAGGCAAGCGCTGCGGTCTCCTGCCTGCCTGGCCCTGCTGCCTCCCGCCGTGCATGGCCCATATCTGGAGGGCTGGGGCTCACCCTTGGCTGCCTGCTGCCAGACCACCACCACCACCTGCAGCAGCAGCAGCAGCAGTTAGCTCCCTCCACAGCAGCTGCCTGCTCCCCATCGATCTCCTTCCTTGCCACCCGCCCGCCCGCACGTCCGCCGCGCTTTCCTCCCCGCCCGCCTGGCAGGGCCTGAGCGACTCTGTCTTCTACCTGGTCATGTACTGCTGGAACCTGGCCCTGTACTGCGCCTTTGTGGCCGTCTTCTGCCTCTTCGGCGGCCTCATCGGCCTCAAGATCTTCACCCTCAACAGCTACTCCCTGCAGGTGGGCTGGCGGCGGGGTGTGGCCTGAACACAATCGGCCAGCGCTGCCCGGCAATGGCCGGTGCTGCTGCTGCCAGGCACAGCACCTTGCTGGGTATGCCCCCACCTCTTCTGTGCGCATTCCACACTCCCTTCCCATGCCCTGCTGCTTTCTCAATCCCTTCCAGGCCACTTTCTACTTCCTGTGGGGCCTGGCCCTCACCAGCTGGACCTTCTACTTTTCTGCGCTGTGGCGCGAGGCGCGCCCCGCCGTCCTGCTGGCCGTCATTTGGCTCATCATCAGCGGGTGGGCTGCTTGGCGGTGTGGTGTGGTGTGGTGTGGTGTGCTGTGCTGTGGTGTACAGCGTGGGATGGCGCCTGTCAGCTGTGCGGATGCTGCTGCGCTGCATTTGTGCGCTGCTGTCCTGTACTGCCAAGGTACTGCTGTTGTACCGCAGGTTCATGTCCAACCTGGTCATGGTGCAGTACATTGAGCAGGGACCGCTCCTGTTGGCGCAGATCCTGCAGATCATCCCTTCCTTCACCGGCTCAGCGCCAATCCAAGCCAATTCCTTCGGGAACGCCTAATAGAATCGCCAAGGCTTCGGCACAGGCCTCCCCGGGACCCATTCACTACTAGTGGGGGGTACTGCACTTGGCGCGTCGGGCAGATCAAATAATGGTCTAAAGCTAGACGTTAAAACCGGGAAGTGAAGCTTGTGGAGGCTCTTCCCCACCTTTACCTTTACCTTTACCTTCAACCTGTGAGCAGCCGCCTGGCTGTGCTGGATGCCATGGCACAGCCACGCTGTGCTGGCTCATCCCATTGCTTCGTGCTGCCGCTGGCTCTGTCTGTACCAACAAAATTGCCAGGTGTCGTGTGTGCTGGCCCCGCAGGTACCGCGGCCTGTATGAGCTGTCTCAGGTGCTGCTCTCCGGCGGCAGCAGGCATGCTGCCCATGCTTCAGCTTCATCAGCGTCCCCTCTCAACCTTTCCTGCGGCCTCTGCTGCCCCGCCACATGCGCCCCACCTCCCACCCTTCCTCCCCACACTCCCAACCCTCACCATCTTGCCCTGCCCTGCCCGCTCGTACCTCCCTCCCTGCAGTACGCCTTCCTGGCCGACCGTACCGGCGGCTCGGGCCTCACCTGGTCCAAGCTGGGCGAGGCGGGCAACGGCATGGTGTCCGTGCTGCTGATGTGCGCGGTGGAGGCTGTGGTGTTCATGTGGCTGGCATACTACCTGGAGCAGGTGGGCGCACTTTCTTCCTTCTTCCTTCTTTCCTTCTTGCGTTTTTGCGATCTTTTCTTCCCCTCCTGCTGGATTTCCCGCGCCAGACGCTGCAGAGTGGGTAGCTGCAGGGTGTGCAGGCGGCAGGTGCTGACCAGCCATGAGGGCCTTGGCCCTGCCCCTGCGGCAGGTACGGGGTGCAGGGACTGGCATCCGCCGCCACCGCCTCTTCTTCCTCGGCTTCAAGCTCCGCGAGAAGGAGGCCCCCGAGCGGCGGCGCTGGCTGGCTGGCTGGCGGCGGCGCCGCAGGGCCGCGCAGGACGGCGGCGGCACGGCCAAGGGCTCGGCGTCTGCACGTCAGTTGCTGGCTGTGGGGCAGCAGCAGGGCGCGGTGCAGCTGGCGGCAGCCGGGGATGACCCAGTACCGTCTGTGGCGGTACAATCCAAGGACAGCTGGATTGAGGGGTACTACGGCAGCCTGTCGGAAGGTCCAGAGCAGCTGCGCAGCCCGCAGCTGCCTCCACGGGAGGCCCCAGTGGCGGTACCGTCCCCGCTGCCCCGCAAGCCCACCTCTGTGCGCCTCTCGGTGGCGCCGGAGCCCTGCGCAGGCTCCGTCAGCAGCGCCTGCAGCACCGACGGCTACGGCACAGCAGGGGAGGTGCCTGAGGGGTCCGATGTGGCGGCGGAGCGGGCCCGAGTGGAGGCGCTGTGGCAGCAGTGGTGAGGGTCTGGCGCTGGCTGCCGTGCCATGCTGGGTTGCTACATGCTGGTGGTTGCAAGCGAGGTGGTGGCATGCCAGCCCAGGGCCGCGCCCCTTGTGACTGGTAAACTGATTGTATGTGTGTGGGTCCTGTGTGGCTCCGCAGGCAGCTCATCCCCGGGCAGCAGCCGCCCGCCGCCATCGTGCTGCGCTCGCTGCGCAAGGTCTTCCCAGCCCGCGACGGCAACGCCGAGAAGGTAAGCTTGATGTGTTGGTACCATGTACAAAGGGGCTTGCTTTCTTGGGCACCAGTGTTTCTGTAATGTTTGCAAGATGCTTGCTAGCTCCAGCTAGCTTGTTTCAATAAAATGAAGGCGTGGGCTCAAGGAATCCAAGTTGCCTGTTGCCAGGTGGCGGTTGCTGACCTGTCGCTGGCCGTCCCGCGCTGCGAGTGCTTTGGCCTGCTGGGCCCCAACGGCGCCGGCAAGACCACCACCATCCGGTGAGCCCTTTGAGTTTGAGAGAGCGTGGCTGCTGCTGACACAGTAGTGTAGTGGCTTTTTGCTGCTGATGCAGTAAGCCTCCCACATGCTGCCTGCCTTGCATCCTGCTCTTCCTGCTTGGCCCCACCTGCCCTGTCCTTTCCACCTGCTCCGCAGCATGATGGAAGGCTTCATGTCCGCCACCAGCGGCCAGGTGGATGGCCAGGCTGCGCCAGCCGCTGCTGCCGCCGCTTCTGCCACGGCCTTGCGCACTGCCGTCGCTGCCAGGGCTGCTGGCTGAGCAGGCTGTGTGCTGGGGACTGCCGCGCCGTAGGTGCGGCCTGTTTTCCCCACACTACACCACTCTCACACACACGCGCATGCCGCTGTACCGCTGTACCGCTGTACTGCAGGCCCTGATAGAGGGGCTGGACATTGGGCGGGACATGGACGACATCTACGCCCTCATGGGCGCCTGCCCCCAGCACGACCTGCTGTGGGATGGGCTGACTGGTGGGTGGGGGTGTGGTGGGGTATGGGAGGGAGAAAGGCTGGTTGCTGGCTGGGCACTGCTGAGGAAGGGGCTGGCGGGTTCGCTGCGTGGGGCGTTGGTCGATGTGAGGCTGCCTGCTGGCTGCGGGTGGGAGGCGCTGGCGGGTGCGGCCATGCCGCGTGGCACTCTGGTGTGTGGGGCGGCGTGTGTGTGGGGAGGCTGGCGAGGTGGAGGCGGTGTCTGGAGAAGGGCTGGCCGGCCCTGCTCTGGCCTCATCTCCCCTTTACTCCCAGGCTCCTTTCGCCCCATGCTCCTCTCTTCTGCTCTACTTGCCAAGGCAGTGCCTCCCCATGCTCCCTCATGTCCCGTACCCTCCTCCCGCTTGCTTGTGTGGGCTTAAAGTCTGGTAAAGCAAGAACTAGCTTGCAACATAGACTCCCCGCCGAAACGGGACGGGAACCGGGCGAAAGCAGAGAAAGCAATAAAACAGGGGTGGAGCAAGGCGACATGCAACGCAAGCAGCTGACAGGGCACGCATCGAAACGTGTGTATGACTGGCAAAGTGGCATGGCGCATTGGGGAGAAACGCAACGGTACGGGAGCATGGGCTGGCCAAACGGCAGTGCGGAACGCTAGGTCACTAGAAAAGCAGGGAAAGGCGCACTATGTATGCAATGAGGGCAGCCCCGGCTCGGGGCCGTTGAGAAAGCAGTGGGCGGGAGGGGGGAGGCCCCGGTGTGGGCGGGCCCCATCGAGGGGGGATGGGGCGCGCAAGCGGCCAGATGGGGCGGGGCGCGGGCGGCAGTGGAGTCCTGCGGCTGGGTGGGATATAGGGCAATGAGCGTTGAGCAGTGTGCGATGAGCAATGAGCAATGAGCAGTGAGCAGCCCCTCCCTAAACAAAGTGAAGCGCAGGACGGGGTCCGGTGGATGGGAGGCAAGGAAACGCGGGGGGTTGCCACGTGCGCTACCGCCGCCGCCGCAGGCAGCACCCCTGCGGCGGCGGCAGCGGCAGCAAGCTTGGGCCCAAACGCCGTGCCGCCGAGTCCCGTGGCTGCGACCGTAGACCGTGGGCCGGAAACTGCGGCCGCAGCTCGGCGGCACGTGGTTCTGTTCAATTCGCCAAGCGTGCAGCAGCGCCGAACCACGCTTCCCGGCCTCGGCGCATGCCGTCAGGGGCCCCCTATCGCTGGGCACACCCCTCCAACACCGAACATGCGCCCGGGGGGGAGGGCGGCCCGGGCTGCCCAGGCCAAAGTGGGCCGCCCTCGAGCAAGAGGCGGCCGGTCTGTGTGCTGAATGAATGAATGGATGCGTACTACTGCAACGGCGGCGAGCCAGGCCAGTACGCGAGCACCTGCTGTTCTACGCCCGCATAAAGAACTTTGCGGGCAAGCGGCTGAGGCGGGCGGTGGACGACGCCCTGCGCTCCGTCAACCTCTTCACAGTCGGGAACGACCTGGTGGGGGGCTACAGGTGCACCTGGGGCGACTGTTCGTCTGCGCTGCGCTGCGCTGCGCCGTGCCATGCTGTGCTGAACTGCGCTGCGCTGCGGCCGCTGCACTCCCTTTTAACAACGACACCCTGCCAGCGTCGCACTCGCCGCGCCCCGTTCCCGGGCTCGGCCACAACCTCCGGGCCGCTGCTTTTGCTGCCGTGCAGCGGCGGCATGAAGCGGCGGCTGAGCGTGGCCATCTCTCTGGTGGGGGACCCTCTGGTGGTATACCTGGATGAGCCAAGCACAGGTGGGGCTGGCTGGGGGCTGGCACATCCCCTGGGGGCACAGGCCGGCCTGCGTGTGTTTGCTGGCGGATCCTGGTCGGTGTGATGCAGCTGCGGCTACTCAGTGGTGGGTTTGGAGCTAGCCCTGGTTGGTGCCGCGGCAGGGCTGGGTGCCTGGGGTGCTGGCAGAGCCGCATTGGGGGCGTGCCGGCAGGGTGTGGGGCTGCCGGTGAGGACCGAGCGCCCCTGCCTGCCTGTGCCCCAGGCCTGGACCCGGCGTCCCGCCAGCTGCTGTGGAACGTGATCCGCCAGGCTCGCCGCGAGCGCGCCGTGGTGCTGACAACTCACAGCATGGAGGAGGCGGAGGCTCTCTGCGACAGGTGTGGTATGGTACGGGTTGCAGCGCCGCGCTTGTGCTGCCGGCAGCGCCCTGGCATGGCGGATGGCCGCACTGCAGAGGCGGGAGGGCCGCGGCGGCCGCCGTGTGCCGCTCGGCTCCGCCGCCGCCTTGTGCCGCAGGGTGCCGCGCCCCAATTGTGCATCCTGCCAGGCCCAGTCTGCCTTCCACCGCCGCCGCCTGCAGGCTGGGCATCTTTGTGGGCGGGCGGCTGCAGTGCCTGGGCAACCCCAAGGACCTAGTGTCCCGCTTCGGCGGCTACCTCTCCTTCACCATCACCACGCCTGTGGGGCAGGTGGGTGGTGGGGCGCACCCGGCCAGGGATGCACGGGGTGCCGCCAGCGGTGCAAGGGCGACAGCGGTTTCCCAGAAAGCGGGAGTTGGGTTCTCAGAGGCTGGCGACCGTGGCAGCATGCAGCACGCGCTGCATGGCCTGGCTGGCCGGCCGTGGGATCCCCGGCCTGACGCCCCGCCCCGCCCCGCCCTGCGTCTGCGCAGGAGGCGGCGGCGGCGGCGGTGGTGCGCGGGCTGTCGCCCTCGGCCCGCCTCGTGTATGCCTTGGGCGGCACCCAGAAGTTCGAGCTGCCTGTGGGGGAGGCCGGGGTGGACCAGATCTTCTCCCGCATGGAGGAAGTGAAGGCCAGGTGCGCGGGGGCGCTACATGCATGGCTGGCGGCAGCACGCTAGGCCAGGCGGCAGCTGGCAAGGGCAGCGCAGGTCTGCGCTGGGTCGCGCACCGTGTGCGGGCGGTGCTGTTGCTTGCTTGGGTGCCTCGGCCTGCCTGCCTGCCTGCCTGCCAGCCTGGAAGCCTGCCCACCTGCCGCCGCCTGCACCTTCCCGTGCCCTCACCACGAGCGTGCGCAGGCGGGAGTTGGACTTGGTTGATTGGGGTGTCTCCAACGCCACCCTGGAGGAGGTGTTCATCCGCATCACCCGCGATGCGGGCGTCAGGATGGGCGCATTTGCCTGATGGCTGGGGCTGCGCTGGGCCCCTCTCTATCGCCTGTCGCCCAAGCGTGCGGAGAGGAGGGTGGAGCGTGGCGGCGGCTGCGGTGGACAGATGGCGCTGACTCTGGCGGTAGATGCGGCTGCCCTCACTGATCTGATACTATTTGCCTTTCGTTCGGCCACACATGAATCGGTGTAAACTATTGCTTGATCCGCACACAGGGCCTCATGAAAGGCTCGGCTGGCCGCACCGGCGCCTGCGCCTTGCGCGGTGGTCGTCATCATGCCGGCCCGGCCATCCTGTGCATCCTTGATCAGCGCTCGCTTCTCGGTTTTAGGCCTGCTGCAGCCTGGTGGCGCTTGTTGGCCGCTTGGCGAAGCCCGCCGTTCATCTCCACGCGGGAGGCGCCATCGCAGCAGCGCGATGCCGCAGCTCGACAAGGCTGCAATCGAGGAGTTCCGAAGGTGACCCTCAACGAAATCAAAGCGAAGCCTTCCCCTGTGCCCGCCAGGGGTCTTGCGTACACTAGCGTTTATATGCTATAGAGCTACGCTGAGCTGAGTTCCAGCTCCCAAACACCCTCGCGGCGCGCGGAGGGGCACGGACAGGCTGCTGAATGTGGCGGCGGCGGGAGGGCGGGCTCCCCCCTTTGCCTCAAAACCATGGCTGTAGGTGCTCAAAGCGCTGGCAATCAAGCCATAGGCAGCGCCCTCTTGAACCGCCGCCGCATGGGTGCAGGGAGCGGAACGAGCAGGGCGCGGCCTCCGACCGGACGGGGCTGCAGAGATCGGCGGCGCTCTTCGGCGGGCTGCTCCTGTTCAAAACAGCCTTGCAGGAGGGCCTCCCAGGTTGGCCGGCGCAGCAGCAGGCCTGGCAGCAGGCCTGTAAATTCCATCCCAGGCACCAGCATTGCTTGCTGTCGCCCTCCCATCTCTGGCTCCTGCATGCCTGCCACCTTCGTGTCAACACAGACCCGTGCCAGCCTTTCGCTGCCTGCAGGTCTGGCCCTGCTGGCTTCCAGCCACGTGCTCATGGCGCAGGCGCTGGCCCTGCTCATCTCCTGCCGCCCGCAGCTGTACATCCGGTACCGCGAGGCCTTTGCCATCGCCCTGATGCTCAACCTCGCCTGGGTTGTGAGGATACTGGCTCTGCACGGCGGTACCCCCATACTCAAGTACCACGACGGCAGCACCCTCAAGCTGCTCCTCCTCATGGTGGCGGGCAGCCCCTCCTTCTGGGTCTGCATCTACGCCCTGCACAGCAGGCCCCTGCTGCGCTGGATGCGCCTGGCGCTGCCGCTGCTGGCGGTGCTGCCGGTGGGTTGGTCCCCTACGCGGCGCTGCCTGCTGAGCGCCACATGTGTGTTGCAGTGTGCCTCGGCTGCCCGACTGCTGCATGAGGCTTCTGCTGCCCGCTGCCTGCATGCCGGCCCGCATCCGCTGGCCACCTCCCGGCCATGGTGCCAACCGCCCTTGCACTGCCGCCGCAGCTCTGGAGCAACCCGCGCATCTGTCGGCGGGCGCTGGGTGAGGTCCCAGGCATCGAGGAAAGCATGGATGCTCTGCACAGCAACCTGAGCCTCTGGAAGTGAGTGCGCGGCAGCCTGCCCGTGCGTGTGTGCTGGTCAGGGGTGCCGTTATGCTGCCCGTGCTGGGGCAAGCACGCCCGTGCCCTACCCCCACCTTATGCCCCCGGCCGCCCCCGCGCCTTCTGCCACGCCTGCAGCATCGCGTCGGCGCCGGCCACCTACCTGCTGACCTGCGGCGAGTGCAGCCCGCTCCAGCAGTGCGTGGCCATCACTCACTCCATCGTGCTCTCCCTGGGGGTGCTGCTCCCGCTCTGCCTGCTGGAGCAACTGGAGCGACGCGCCCGCCGGCACTTTGCGGCCCGGCAGCGCCTTCAGCGACAGCAGGCGCAGCAGCTGGAGCGGCGGCGGCAGCAGCGGGAGCGGCAGGAGCAGCAGGAGCAGGAGCACAGGCTTGCGCAGGTGCTGCAGCAGGCGCTGGCAGAGGAGGCGGAGGAGGACGCCGCGGAGCGCTGGGAGGCCGCCGGCGGCAGTTTGGAGCGGCACCTTCTGCTGGCTGGGCAGCCTGTGGAGGCGATTCTTTCCACCCAGTTCCTGGCCAGCTGCCTGGCGTGGCTGGGCGCCAATGCCCTGGCCAAGTGGCCTACCTGAGCTTGCATGGCTGACTGGCTTGCCTCCAGCAGCACGCACGGCTGTGGGGCTGCCTCTTCCACAGCGGCAATTAGTCGTGCCACTGGTAAAACGCTGCATTTGCCAGTTGAAGGCAGGCCTTTGCGTGCATGTGAGCACCGCCCGGTGCCGCCCGTCGTGCCGGCGCGGCCAGCTGCCGCTAGCTTGCCGCGCCCGCCTACCCCTATCGTCGGCTTGCATCCCACCGCCCCGGGCGCCACAGGAAAGCCCAGGACGGTGAGGAACGGCGGGCAGCGCTCTGCCAGCTCGAGCTCCCTCCTGCAACTGTGGTGGCGCCATGGATGCCATGAGCGCAGGGATGGGGCGCAGCGGTGCATGACTTACAATCCTCCACCCCGAGCTCATGCGGGAGGTTGCATGTCTACTGTAGAAGGCGGCCCCCGGCCATGCCAGTGGGGTGCCCAGCATTGCCTGTACTGCCACCCGCGCCCGACCGCACCAGCGGCACGCGACACGTCAGCGCCGCTGCAGAAGAACAGGAAGTTGCGCCCTGGTGCTGGTGCCTGCTGCAGCCCGTCCAGCCGCCCCGTGCGCTCGAAAATCCCGCATACGCCGCACCGTTTGTTGCGGCAGGACTGTCTGGGGTTCTCAGGCAATTGAGGCCAAGCTGAGTCCTGCGAGGGCTGCTGGGTGTGCGGGACAGCACCCCAGCCCTCATTGTGCTGGCAGAGACGGGGCAGCTGCCGCTGCCCGCCTACTGGACCTTGCAGGTTGCACGCTTTGTGAGCAACCTGCAGGCTATGGGCGGCGAGCGGGTCGCCCGTCTTGCCATGCTGGATAGCGTTGCGCTGGCTGCCGACACGGACACAGGGCTGCCACTGGCCCGGCAGCCCTGGGCAGCGCAGGTTAGCCGCGTTCTCGCGGCGGCCGGCGCCCCCTGCGACTTGACTGCTGACGAGGGGGTTGCCATACCTGAATTGGCGGAAGCGCTCCTGGAGCGCCATGTTGCCTCGTACACGCATGCATCCGTGAAGGTGCAGCGGTACATTGAGGACGTGTGGGGGGGCAGCATCTCTGCGGAGGCCTACACGCCTGCGTCGTTCCTGTGCGATGTGCCCGAGCGCCGGCGCCGGGTGCGCCTGGCGCAGTGGCGCACGGGGTCGCACTGGATGGCTGAGGAGACAGGCCGGTGGCAGCGGCTGGACCGCACCCAGCGCCCATGCCCCCACTGCCAGGCCCCTCTAGAGGACGTACGCCACGCAGTGTATGACTGCCCCCTATACGCTGGGCTGAGGGAGGAGTATGCTGAGCTCTTCCACAGTCCCGGCCACGCCTTGCCCTCTTGCTTGTTGCTTGTGTGGGCTTAAAGTCTGGTAAAGCAAGAACTAGCTTGCAACATAGACTCCCCGCCGAAACGGGACGGGAACCGGGCGAAAGCAGAGAAAGCAATAAACAGGGGGGAGCAAGGCGACAT